TGCGTCAATACACCGGTCGTCAATATCTTCTCTCAAACTTTGCAAGCATAGAGGCTGACATGTGTTCTCGTGAACGAGAGCATGCTATAGTTTCGCCCTACGCAATCTTACTTTATCGCCGCCGTTCCCGGTGAAGAAGGCAAATGTGGATCAAGGTGAACGTTTACACAACTCGCTCACTTTCGAGTATTTCCCGTTGCTGCTTTTTTTTTTCTGTTTTTTCGCCATAATTGCGTGAGGAAAACGCTTCGATCGCTGTTATTACGTAACTTCAACGCTGCTGTTCCCGCTTTGCACTTTGCGAACAGTGTGTTGCTATAGGAGTCACTGAAATCTCACAGCGGCACTTGATGACTATCGAGACGTGCGCTATCACACTTGGCGCAAATATGCACTGCTGGCACTTGTACCGAAACGTTGTTTTCCGCATTCGTGTGGAAATGTAATCGGAACAGCGGCGCATTTCATCGCACACTTTGGGAACAAACATCTATAGAGACCCATGCGACCTTGCGAATTCTACCAATCTGTGTTTGCAAACTGAGTTGCCACGTAAATCGCAATGTGCGCGCCAGAATAAATATTTGAAGTGTTGATCAGGTTTGTAATTTTCATGGTTTCAGCATTACAACCACCGCAGAAGAAATGACGTTTGGGCGAGCTGTATGCTGTTAAACATGCTAAGTGGACACAGCGCGATACAATGACAACATCGGCGTTTGTTCACGTGGTTATATGTGTTTTTGTGCTAATATAGCTGCGAGAACAGAATTGGTGTTAATTTCCACACTTTGCCTCTGTCCACGTTGTACCACGCCGAAATTACTCGGCATGTTTACAGCCACCGACTCGCAACATTTTGTTATAAAAGTGGCGTTTGCACGCGTGCAAGTTACACAAGGACTCTGGTTATATCGAACGTAAATATATTTGTTTCTCATTAGAATACGATAACAACGTTAAACGCTACTGTAAGAGTGTCAGAGAAGACGTTTCGGCAATGACAAACTCGCCATTGATGTTGAAAGCACCCAGCGCTTTCTTACGAAGCGGTTTGCAAGAATGCTGAATGTCTGGGTCTCGATAGCGGATCTAGCCGTGATCTTTATTCATTCCTTCCATTGAGATTTCTGACTCATTGACAGCTCCACCATTTTATGCAGCATGGGTTCTTTCACACTCATACATTAAGATGACGATAGATAGATAGATAGATTAGATAGATAGATAGATAGATAGATAGATAGATAGATAGATAGATAGATAGATAGATAGATAGATAGATAGATAGATAGATAGATAGATAGATAGATAGATAGATAGATAGATAGATAGATAGATAGATAGATAGATAGATAGATAGATAGATAGATAGATAGATAGATAGATAGATAGATAGATAGATAGATAGATAGATAGATAGATAGATAGATAGATAGATAGATAGATAGATAGATAGATAGATAGATAGATAGATAGATAGATAGATAGATAGATAGATAGATAGATAGATTCAAAGTGCCGTCGGTTCTATAAAATCTTGGAATTTATACTGTAGTGTAGTAATTGCGAGATAGCCGAACATACAACCTTTGAATAATGCGTTTAATACTCCAGCGATTGAGCTACAGCAGCCGCTTTCTCGTGTGTGTGTGTGTGTGTGTGTGTGTGTGTGTGTGTGTGTGTGTGTGTGTGTGTGTGTGTGTGTGTGTGTGTGTGTGTGTGTGTGTGGTGTGTGTGTGTGTGTGTGTGTGTGTGTGTGTGTGTGTGTGTGTGTGTGTGGTGTGTGTGTGTGTGTGTGTGTGTGTGTGTGTGTGTGTGTGTGTGTGTGTGTGTGTGTGTGTGTGTGTGTGTGTGTGTGTGTGTGTGTGTGTGTGTGTGTGTGTGTGTGTGTGTGTGTGTGTGTGTCAACAAAAAGTGGTCACCACAGATTGGGTGAGCGCGACCCCTATTTCTTAAACGAACGAGGTGTATTATTTTTAATGAAGAAAGTGTATCATAATTTACAGATCATTCTAAATTATATGACAGTTTGTTCACTTAAAAAATCAGGGTTGCATTTCTCCTTGTTAGTCAAGGAGTAATCTGTGACCACTCTCTCGGCGCAACATTACCGCGGCCCATAGGGTACAGGAGTCCTTCAGGACGCCTTGAAACAGCGTAGAGGGCCCCATCTAGGCCATGTAAGTGTTCCCAACAATCCCAACAATAGGAAACTGTGGCGCGCGCGTCTGCCACCCTCGCCTCGATTTCCGTGACAACTGACAGATGGCGTCTTTCTCTCGCGTATGACGATTTGCACCGCTTCTACCGAGATCGAGGGTCGACACTGTCCGCGAGCGGTCAGTCGCGATACGCATGGCAGAAGCAAATGTGCGCGATAAGCGAAGGTCCTTGCGGTGCAGCTGAGTGTCCTGCGACCCTCCGACGACTCCGGACGCCTCATGGCACCACCACACGTGAGTCAACACGCACGTTGCCCTCACCGTGAATAGACCCGTGGTGCATACATGCTTCTGTGTAACATCATATATTAATTATGTCTAAGTGTGCACACGCTGTGATCCGTGGGTTGAACTATAGTCGGCACAAACTTGTAAGGGTAGCAACAGCACGTAAGACGTACAAGGACGGTCTTATTTGTGGTGCAGTGGTGACGGCGCACGTCTGCTGAACTGAAAGCCGCAAATTCGATACCTGCCGCCGTGGTCGCATTAAGGCGAATGTTTAAACAGCCGCGTACTCTACGATGTCAGTACAGAACGTTAAATTAAAAAAAAAACGCCTGTTGGTGGAAGTTTCCGGAATCCGCACTGCATCGTCTTCTCATGACGGGCTACCGGCACGTGAAAACCCAGGCACGGCCGCTGGATAAAAAAACAAGGTCCGCGCCCCAGGTGTAATTCTTGTTTGTTTCACTTCTTCGCCTACGTATTTGCGCTCGGTTTCGTCAAACTGTAAACCCCTTTTCACCTTTGCGGCGACTTCGGGCAAATAAACACCCTTTTGCCGAACCAGAACCTGCCGAGATTGGGGTTGTAAGGATGTTCTACTTGCACGCATCGTCTTTCTGTTGGCATAAGGGACTATGTTTTGTCTTAAACACCTTTCAGCAGCTACGGGTGTTGTGGGTTATAAAAGCACCAATGGCAGCTAGGAGTGCCAGCTGATAACTGGAACTCGCCGATTAGGAAATCGTGAAGCGTCAGACGGGCTAATAATAGCAGATTGGTCTCTTTTATGGCTATCTGCAAGCGCACCATTAGTTCCAGAACATTCACTCGAATTTTTCATCAGAGTATCCAAAAAAAAAAAAAACATTCTAACTAGCACTGAACTGTGCCTCAAAAAATTATGGCCACCAAGTGATCGGTGTAACGTTGGGTAGTCCATGCGCTGTGTCCACTGGGTGTTTTCTTATATGTCACGTTTTTGTGTACGGTCGGGTGTCCATGTGCTTCATTCCTTCGGTGCTGGTGTAATTGAGCTTTCCTTGGCGAGTAGCCTTTATTTTCCCGTTGTTCGGCAATAAGGGTGTTTAAGACATTGGCAACCCTCTATGGCAGAGCTGTTTTGATTTTTCTAAATGTGCTTACCGAGAGTGTAAGTTATAGATACGGTAATGTATAATTCACACAAACTGCAGCCCAGATGGGCTGTTATTGTTCGAGGAGCGGGATATGAATACGAAACACTGATGGTTCATTACGATTAAGGTATTGGTGGCAGGAGACTAAAGAGAAAGGACTAAAAGTGGGGAAATTAAGGTCATTCTACCGTTAAATACAGAGAATAGGGCAACGAATATGTGTTTGTTTTGTTTTTTGCCTTAGTAAGATATGTTAATCGAAATAGACATTTAGGGCATTAGGCTAACTATAAAAAAAAAAGGGAAATGCTTTTGTTTTTGTTTGTCTAGCCTGGTGACACGCTTGTCACCGCGCCGTTACAAAGGGAACGCTCATAGCATTTATCCATCCGTGCACTGAACAATAGAGACAATATGAACACAAACACGCAAGATGAAGGAATTGTTCCTGCTGTGATATTTCCCAAGAATGTATTTAAGGAGAACGGGTGGACCCAAGTAATTAATTTGTTTTCAATTACACGTGAGAAAAAATGGCCGACGATTAGAATACTGCGTAATGCGAATTCTGAGCGGAACTTCGTCTTGAGGCAACGCCAACTGTGCTTGAAGTTCTGACTGTGCGCTGTTGCAGCAGTGTAACAATCGTTACATAATTTGCTGGTGAGATTCCCGAATCGCACTTTCGGCGAAGTGGATAAGGTCGCGGCTCGCACGGCAAACAGACGCACGACGGTATAAGGGTTAGCGACAATCACGAGATAGCGAGTAAACTGCCTCGGTTTCCTCCTTCATGTTCAGTCACCGACTCGGGCGATATCCTGGCGGTAACCCTGGTCGTACAACGCATCTCCAGCCTTCCCGTGGAAACATACTATATCACCGATTCGCAAACGTCATGTCAGGATTTCATTAATGGTCGCGCGGCCATTCCTAAAACTTTGCATTCTGTTGTTTTACGCACGTTCAAAGTTGTTCCACACATCAGCTATATACGCCGAGCACGTATCGCCGCAACAAATGGAGAAGACAATGCATGGAGAAGGGAGGCGGGGAGGACGATGGTGAAAAGAAAGATAACCGCTGAGAATAGTCGCTATCTGTAGCATTTGCGTCGGCCGGACGTCCCATGAACCCCCTGAAGAGATCTAACGGGTTCCGCAACATAAGGACAGTTTATAAAATTGAAAACTAAGAACTATACTTAACTGGAGAGTATCTTTAAGCTTGTAGCTTTACCGGACCAGACAGATTTCTGTGAAATATGTTTACCTATATGTATTCTCCATGACGTCTTTCAGATTTTTTAAAGGTATACCTCAAACGTTATCCAGAGCGTGTGACCTTATAGCGTTGCAATAGAAGAAGCAGCAAGACAAGCTTGTGGCTCTTTTTTGCGGCACCTGTTACAGCTCTCAAGAAGACGGTCGTACGGCGATGGCTGTGCCTTGTTACCCTGGGACTCCAAACATGGATGTGCCAAGGTGAGCCGTTTTTAACCTCTTCATAGCCATATTTACGTCGTCTGTCTCAGCTGCTGAATGCTGCAGCACATCTACTGTTTGTTAGTGCCCAGTTTGTTCCGACAAAACATATACAAAATCGAGTATATAGATTTCGACTAAACCTCCTTTCAAACTCCATTTAAACAAATGCTGGAGGTAAACAAATGCTGGAGCATTTGTTTACCTGCGCCCGACGACTGGTTACGCCGTGTAGGAAAGCACTATTACAGCCAGCGCCGACGTAGTTTATTTTTCTCATAGTTGCTCTCATAACGTACGTCTTCAAGATGCAACAACTTAACTGAACATCGCGGCTGATGGCAGATTTACTAAGCGCTATCACACTTTTTTAAAGTACTACAGATACACTGCTCGTACGAGGGAAGATTCATTTACCAGTTGACAGATTATCTTGAGCAAATGTAAATTCTCCCATTCTTGCGTGACACATGCGAGGAATGAGCGAACAAAGCACAAGCTCCACCCATGTTCAGTGCCGCTGCTAATAATAATAATAATAATAATAATAATAATAATAATAATAATAATAATAATAATAATAATAATAATAATAATAATTATTGTCCCTTGAAGATTCCTTTCTGGAAAGAGGGAAAGGGGCACTATTATACAATGTTGAATAATATTCAGCGTGAACAAAACGAAGTTGATAGCCGAAACAAATCTGTGCAACTGATAATATATATATATATATATATATATATATATATATATATATATATATATATATATATATATATATATATATATATATATATATATATATATATATATATATATATATATATATTACTGCCGGGGGTACAGAAAATCAGGACAAATAGTAGACGCTATAAAGTAACGACGCCGTGGTAGTGTATCAAATGCTTAAAAACGTGTCACTAGGTACTTAAATATATGTGAATTCCTTACTACATTCCCAGGTAGGGCGTTTTGTAGTTAAGTAGCAGTAGGCAAGAAAGGTTTGTGAAGGCATTCTATAAGTACCGTGATAGCATTGTATACTTAGGCTATTGAACAGATGATTGCAAGAGCAGTTGGGTGAAAGTTCCCATAGTGCATGAAGGTGTAATGTAGTTTGTAGAAAAGACGCGATACCTTTTGACAAAGCATTACACTATAGATGCTTCGTCATCGTCAGCCTGGCTGCGCCTACTGCAGGATAATCAAGCTGTTGAACAAGTGATGTTCAACAATCCCGGAAGAGAACAGTGCTTTGCGAAAAGTAGTCATTGCCATAGGTCGGCGAACTCACTCACCGAGTCGACTCACTCATACTCACTCAGACTCAGGTCAAGACGCGAGTCTGAGTCTGAGTGAGTCGTAATATTTTGGTGAACTAGAGTTGCAGTGAGTGCTGATAAAAGAAAATTTCAGTGAGCTTGACTCTAGGTCAGTCCGACTGAGGAAAGTTTAGGTGAGTCAGAGTGAGTCTAAAGCTCAAGATATATTTCTTAAGTGAGTCTAAGTGTGTACCACTCATGTTTGCCAACTTACGGTCCCATCTGCTCATCTTCAGGGTTACTATATGAGCCTTACATGGATTTATGTTTATACGTGTACTCACAAGTATTCCAAAACAATGTCGATCATGCACCATTTCAATATTTCTAAATTAGAGGGGTTAGACCAATTCTTTTGGGGAGCTTCGTGATAACTGTATCTTATGTTGTCGTCTCTTTCAATAAAAATGTCCTTGCTGGTTTTACTCGTAATTCGTATTCGAATGAAGATACTGTTGTGACCCTCGTCAGTAGGCGTCATGCTGTCGCTGAGAAACTTCCTCCGGGCCGGCTTGTTTAGCGAGATGGCGAAGCAGACCGACCGCGATTGAAGTATCCACTCCTTGGCTGCCCTTCCTGGGAAAGGTGGAAGAAGCAACCCAACCGCCAAATTGTTCCGGGAACGAACGCCATTTCCCCTCTCCTCAGAGCATTGCGTCAAGAGGTGAAGTAACTATGCGGCGGACCGTGTGTTGCTGACTGTTGCCCCGTGGGGCAACGTTACTAGATAATCGAGTAACGTTGCTGTGGGCGGTGTCTTGTGTGTGTGTGTGTGTGTGATTGGTGTTTCAATCAAGGAGGAGGAGCCCGACAGGGTTTATAACGACGCTGCAAAGTGCTGGACGGGGCTCTGAACCATGTAACGGTTCAACCACCACGCTCGTGGTTTGTGAAACTCCTAACCTCTCTATGCTGTAAATAAGTGTAAATAGTGCCATAAACCTGTTTATTTTTCGTATCCCCGTCTTTTCAGCGTTCGTTTCCTCCACCCGAAGTTACGCCAAGCTACCACAAAAGACCGGGTCCGACGTAACCCTGACGTTCTGGCAACCCACGTCAGCGGGGAAGCGTCGGGTAGACCCCGGTCTGCAACAGTACTATATCAAAAGGCACCGAAAAGAGCACCGATTACGCAAGATATTGGTGTTAAAGAGCATGGCATTGTGTTACAAAACCTAATTCTGGACTTATGTACTCGTTAGCCGACTCACTCGTACTCACACGGACTAAGATCGAGCCTTGAGTCGGAGGTTTAGTGAGGCCGATTAAGGAAAATTTTTGTGAGCCTGAGTCCGAGCGAGTCCGGCTGAGGAATATTTTGGTCAGTCTGGGTCCGAATGACTCCTAAGCGCAAAATATATCTTATGAGTGAGTCTGAGTGCGTTTTACAGTGTCTACCGACATATGGTCATGACACTGGGAGTGATAAAGAAATGCGTCTGCGGAAAGATGTTTAGGGATGATTTGTATGAAGTCATGGTGAGACGTGATAACACGTGCCGTGCGGTTTTCTGCTGCTTCAAGTGCTCTATGAACATTTTGCCGTCGTCAAGAAGTACGAGACAAACAACTTTGAATAACCGTGCTTCAATTTTTAGGACTACGCTTTTGTAAGCAGCAATGACGTCGCTACAGCCGGACTCCACTGACGACTACTGTTGCTGCAGGCCGACGAAGACGCTGCCGTTTGCAATCAAACGTGAGGTCGTCATTGAACGATGTAATTCTGGCAGCACGACAGCGAGTGATGTCTGCCTCTTTTTGAAATGAAATGGCAAATTTCCTACTGCATGGAGTGAAGTAGTGTTTTACTCGCGTGTGCACTGGAGCTTTGTCTATGCTTACCACGGTAACGTTTTCTGACAATGTTTAAACGCATTGCGAGGCCCACTTAGAACCTTTCCGTGCAACGTCTAGCGGACTTTCTCTTCCGATTAGAAGTCTGTTGCACATGATAATCACAACGTTTTCTGTTCAAACATTGGTCACATATCCTACGTCGTTCTTCCGCGTTGAAGGTTTTTTGCAGTTTTTCCTTAATTTTTTTCAGCATATTGCCATCTAGCTTCCTTAAAATTTTGCACACGACTAAATCATTCTTGGTTAATAATGCCTGGACGACAAAGAAGGTTCTGTAGGTATTTACCCATCGCAAAGCGTCTCCCAAGATATTGCGATGACTTGCTCGAGTCCAGTGAGTAGCGACCGTGCAAATACGAAAGACGTGGCGGGTACGTGGAAACAGTGTGAAGTTGAGTTCGTTGGCGATTCGCGCGTGCTCGTGCCACGCCTTTCTTTCTCGCTCTCTTACTGTTGCCGCTTCCCGTCATGTTTGCATTCGTTATCGACGCCTTTGCACGGTCGCTATACTCACTGGACTCGAGCTCGTCATTGCGACATCTTGGCAGACGTTTTACGAAGGACCACCGTTTGCGCTGCGGGAATAGAAAGGTCGAAGACGAACTCGTTCCTTCTCTTCGCAGGAAAGAGGAGACGGGTCAAGTCTGTCTTCGTTTTTTTTTTTTTTTTTGCCTTTGTCCCGGTCAGCTATAGGGTCCACTCTTACCACTGAGATGAACAAATACCAGCTAGGTAAAATGGCTGTTTTGCTATAAAGCACAGGTTCACACATCAAAAAGATGCGTAGACAGAAGCCAAGGAGAAAGATGGGTCGCATTTTGCTACAATCATCATTACCTCTATAGTAGTGTCATTGTTAAAATCGGCTTAAAGAGCAGCTAGTTTAACGTTCTCGCAGGTCACTTGAACCGGAGCAACTGCAACGACCTATGGGTACAGCACAAGGTGCGCACTTCGGGAACCTACCAGATCGACGTAGATGGCGAGGGTCCGCTGAAGCCCATTTGGGTCGACTGCGAAATGGGAGACGGTCGCGAGCAGTTCCAGGTTCTCACCATCGTCCACCATAACCTGGAAGAGACCCTGCAGGTTCGGGGCAAGGAGCCACCTGGCTCCTACTCGCGAAACGTCACCTACGGGGACGCCACTGAACGACACCTGGCGACGCTCATCGACAGCATGTTTTCCTGTCAGCAGCTCGTACGCTGGGACTGCAAGGGCGCCATGTTCGGATTCTGGTACCCTCCCGGACTGGACAGCTGGTACGCTAGCGCAAGGCGGAACATTGCAGCCGTGACGCCATGCGTTTCCGCAGGTGGGTTGGCCGGAACTGGAAGGACCAATTCTACTGGGGCGGCGCCGAGACGGACAGCCGCAGCTGTGGTTGCCATCCGTACTGCCTGCGCACGCGGCGCAACTCGACGTGTAACTGCGACGCCAACATCAAGCAGATGTGGCTGGAAGACGCGGGCCTCCTGCTGGACGCCCGGAGACTGCCCGTGCTGCAGCTACGCTTCGGCGACACCGGAGAGGCCAACGAGGCCGGCAAGCACACGCTCGGGCCTCTCGTTTGCCGAGCCACGGGTCACGTGGGTGAGCGCTCTTTTTTCACTTACTTGCCAGCGGAAACGAGAAAACCTGCTGCGAAGATGCTTGTACGATCCCGTCCCAACCAATGTTACAGTTGGCACGATGTTTCGTGCACATGAAGTAAGAAGTACGCTTCACGTCCTATCTCTGGGACTATGGCGCGTTGAGAATGACCATCCAGTGAAAAGCAATGTCATGTAGACACACTATTGCCCTTGCCTTTTCGCTTGCATAGTAGCCAATTTCAGTAAGTTCGGCGTTCAACGCAATTGATGCTCTTCACGTGCGTCCCAGGTTTCGGCTCTTCGCGAAATAAATAGTAGACTGAAAACAATTAAGGCTTTAAATGTCTCATGAGTCAGGAGACTTAGAGAGATTTCGCGAGGCCTTCTGAGACGAAAAGCCGTTTTGCGTTGCTTCGTTTGTCTTTTACCGGTGGCAATGCGTACAAGAAGCTACAGGCCGAATCTCCCCGTTTCCCGCACATTGGTAGACGTGTTCCGGGGCAGCTTCGTGGCGCCGGTGACGATCACGAGCTCGGGCTACCCGTCGTCGTACCCGCCGCCCTTCCACCGCTACCTGTGGACCGTGTCGGTGGAGGCCGGCGACGCGATGGAGCTGGTGTTCCTCGAGTACGACGTGCTACACTGGGGCGCCTACACGGCCGTGCCCGGGTGCCGCAGCGCGGTGAGCGTGTCCGCGTGGCGCCACTCGGACGGCGCCCGGTTCTCCATCGAGCGGCAGGAGACGGCGCCGCCGTACTTCGTCACCGACGGATCGCGCACCGTGCTCAACCTCACGCTAACCACCTGCAACCAGATCATGAAAAAACAGCTCACCAAGAGGGGTTTCATGGCCGAATTCAGGAGAGCCGGTGAGTGGCGCCATTCCGCCTCTCGCGTCTTTACACGTCTCTGGAGTTCAGCAAGGATTGCCCAGCAGCCTAACTAACTATCTTCTATAATTTATTTATTTATTGGTACGTACCTCAAGGGTCCCGAGAGACATTACATGAGGGGTGGGTATCATAAGAGAAGAGAACACGATAAACATTATAACAATAAACATCAATAAGACTAAAATACAAAATGCAGATACAAGTGGCGGCAATACAAATAAGACAATCCGTTTCACAAAGGCAAATTCAAAGGCATCAATTCATGTATGTTCGATAGTATATTGGAAGCGTGTTGCATCACGGACAAGTGCAACATCTTTCGGAAGGCCATTCCAGTCTCGGGCAGTTCTGACGAAGAATGACTGATGGAATGTAGTGGTGCGGGTACGGGGTGGAATTACTGCGTTCAGGTGGCTTGTTCGGGATGAACGAGCCACCTCGTTCATTCCGAACAAGCCACCAATGAGCACTGTGTCCGGTCGAAATGCTTGATGCTTTTGTGTTATCCTCCATGGAGGTCTAATTGGTATGGTGCTGGACTGCTGACTCGCAGGTTGCAGTAATCGAATGGCAATTAATTTCAATTATTTTGTACGACTTACGGTAATTAAGTCACAACAGCGCTAACATCGACTGTGGATACGGCGGCTAAGCGCGCGCATGCCACGACCTGTTTTAGTGTACACATAAAGTAAGGCGCGATCCTTTCAGAGTGCACCGGATGCGAAGCAGGCTTCGGCATCAACGGCTCACAGACGGTCTGCAGTGCGCCGTGCGGCATCATCTCTTCCTACGGGTGCGTATATAGACACGAGTGCCGAGACAATGCTATCGGCTCCTCGCTTATCTCCTCGGCAATCGTCGCGCTCACTTTCGGGCGAAATGCCAGGGGTGAAGCAACGCTATTTTTCTACGGCTAGTTGATGCCTCGAAATTTTACGGGGCACCCATTTAGACGTGGGCAGGTTTCGTGTGTGTGACGCTCGATGATGTCATTGTGGAGATGTTTACATCTCTGGTTCCGAGAACCTGAAGCTGTTTATGACCGTGAGTATACTGGACGTCGACGATTGAAAGACGAAATAGAAACGCTGTTCTTTCTGGATGTTCTGCCTATCCGTGAAATTTTTATAGCTATTTATTTATTTGAACATGTTGTCAACCCTTATTGGAGGGACAATTGATATGAAAGGAACATTCCACTGACATCAATATCTCTCAAATCATCAGCAAGTGGCAAGGAACTTGGCACATCAAGTGACGTACCACCGAATGAATTTTAAGGAACATGACTATTAAGTAGTGTTTCAAACGCCTTTACATCAGTTCACTCAGAAATATGTGCAGGTAGTCTGATCTTTTGACAACAGCTGAAAAAAAAAAGATCGAATGCCAACAGAGATTGTTCATGCATCATAAGGTCTGATGGTTATACAGGTCGGTAATATGCTACGTTGTCACGCAAAGAAATTATTGCAGTGTTAACTTCTATGAATGAGCTGTGGAAGCGGGTGGGCTAACACTGATTCGCGGCTTCGGCACGATGCGGGATGGACGTTTTCAATGTACGCCTAAAAAGGGTTGACATATCCTCCACGGTGGCCTGGTGCTCGACAGCTGACCTGACGGTCACGGGGTCAAATACAAGTCGTCGCGGCCGGATTTTGTCAAGGTGAAAATGCTTAAGGCCGGTGTACTTATATTTAGTTGCACGTTAAAGAACTCCAGGCAGCTAGTTGAACTTTCTGGAGCTTTGCGCTATGGCGTCTCCCATAATGATATCATGGTTTCGGGGCGTTAAACCCCCGACTATTATATTATTATGATAGTTGGCAGCACACAGCAGCATATAAACGAAGCGCGCATTGCGGCATTGACAATAATCGGTTATTATTGTTTTATTATGTGGCGAACGGCCGCTCAGAATCAGTGCATACAATCGGTGCAGCTGGAGGGAAGCATATATATACTGCGCGCAGATATCCGTACCCGCCGGTGTCGTACGAGCCTACCGGTCACTACGAGCACACGTGGGTCGTTCGAGTGTCACCGGGACGCGTGGTGCGGCTGCAGTACAACGACTTCGACGTGGCCTCGAGACCCGGTTCTCGCACGTGCGACAAAGACTGGGGGCTCGTGTCCATCTACAGCGGCAAGAACGTGAGCGACGCGACCAGCCTGGTGGGCAGCTACTGCAACCTGAACCGCCAGGGCGTCGTCTTCTCCGAGACCAACGTCATGAGCATCGTCTTCCGCGGCCGCTTTCGCAAAATCGGAAACTCGAGGGGATTTCACGCCACCTACCGGGAGTTTCGGCCATTGCCCAAAGAAGGTGCGCTTCGTGCGGATGGCGTATACTGCGCAAGCACGAAGGAAGGAAGCGGGAAAAATACGGGAGATGGTGCATGTAGTGTGCCCTTTCAATGATACGAACTAACCAGCCTGGAAAAGGGTCCTATTGCAAAAACTTCTAGTTTCGCGGGCATGTCCTATATGTCACACACACGAAAAAAAAAAAAGAGAAACTTCGCTCTTTCCTGTCTTTTTCCTGCTTCCTTCTTTCGCGCATGCGAAGCACTCTACCTATTCAGTTATACGGACGAAATAGCCTGCATAAATGTACGCTTTGTCCGTCACGGAAATACAGTGCAGTTGAACGAGAGCGCGCGTACCTCTCACACTAGAGCATTTACTCCACTGTTCTATAAGTTGATGCATTACCAATCTACATGAAGCATGGATCCGTGTTACGAATAGGATAAGAAAGAAATAAGTCAAAATTAAAGGGCTCGTTTTTGTTTGCTAGACACGATATTAATCAGAACTAACAGACAATGATGTTATTAGTAGCAAATGTATTGTAAATGTGAACAAAGAACAGTGGACGAAAAGATAAGTCGCCGCTGGCAGGAACCGAACTTGCGACCTTCGAATAGCCATTCAGTTGAACTACAGCGACGGGCGTCGCTACGTCGACATTATTGGGTATGTGTATGCATTTAAGCATAGGAGTGTTAGCGCTGCCAGAGTAGCCAGCTCGCAATGATAGTTGGCGCTACACTCTTAATAAGGTCCCGTATAATGCTGGCTATTATATAACACTTCAAACGGGGCCTGACTAAGAGCAGAGTCCTAAGAGTGTCCGCGACGCCAAGGCAGAAGAAGAGTGTTTCACACTCGCCGTCATGGCTACCAGCGGCGCTGACTAACACTCTCAAGTTCTCATGAATAGTGTAAAAGAACTTTTAGTCTAGTTCTTTCTCCCAGCAGGTCTTCTGAAACGGAGCATCGACATGAAAACGCTGGTCTTGAGTGCAGCTGTCTGATTGCAGGCCACCCGTCTCGGACTGTACCAACGTAGCGCAAGGCAAACCGGCGCAACAGAACACCACCTACGAGCACTACGAGGCGCAGCTAGCGGTCGACGAGGATCCATCATCCTGCGCCTCCACGGAGTTCATCAAAGACCCCTGGTGGCAAGTGAACCTGCAGAAAGAGCATTTGGTGTATGCTGTCGAAATACACAACGTAGCGGACACGTCGGTAAGGAACCTTCGCTGTCAGAAGCCATCCAAACTTCGACTCTGTTCAGTAACCGCGCCCTCAGCAGTGTCGCCACCTGGGAGCGGTGAAGTAAAGTATTGCATCATGACACTTACGAGTGCTGACCGGTAGCGCTTAGGTAGTTTCAGCGCAGCGGTAATCGGCAAAATGTGGGTCAGAGACGGTGGTTCGGTTTGGTGACAGATATGTGTTACGTGCTTTGTCTTTTCCTTCTCGCCAGAGTAGAGCAGCTTCCACATGCACTGCTACATCTTCAGGTTCGATAGCGTATAGTGTAATAAACTGGTGGAATAAGCGCTACAGAAGGGCACCGACATCGACGGGTGAATGTCGCGCCCCGGTCTCCGTCATTAAGTTCGGCAATGAGTTGTTGCTCGGGCCTTTCCATTCGCACGTCGAGAGAGAGAGCGATGCGACAGCTACGAAAGCTTCGTTGATTTGATGCAGAACTTGGACTAAGGTCACCATCCCGCGGCATGTAAAAGAGTTGATAGCAAAAAGCCGCACCACGGCCAGGCTAGAAGGAAACGCGACACGTATCGTGTCTCCAATCTAGCCCAGTCATGATTTCTCGGGAGGTTGGATGGATGGATGGATGGATGGATGGATGGATGGATGGATGGATGGATGGATGGATGGATGGATGGATGGATGGATGGATGGATGGATGGATGGATGGACGGACGGACGGACGGACGGACGGACGGACGGACGGACGGACGGACGGACGGACGGACGGATAGATAGATCTGCATAAAGGCGTCTAGATGTTGCACTGTAAGGGTGAAGTGTCTCCAGAGAACACCGGCCTCTGGAATGACGCTCCTTCCATGCGACAGGGGCGGCCGGAGGAAAGCCTGCCAGCGTGCAATCTCGAAGGTCATGGTTAATCATGATGGCTAGACGACAGGTCTCGCGGCGCCACAGTAATGTGCGCCGTCGTGTGGTCGCTGATGACTTCATCACTAAGTTATGTAGCGAGGGCGTCCACGGTACCATATATGCAAATACAGCAGGGGCTTTGGCAGAATATCTTTTAGGGGCGAACGGCGAAGCTCCTTAGCAAGGTGCGGGAGCGGGCTATAGTTGGTATTCAATATCTTTAACAGCTGAAGCGCAAAAAAGGCAACAACGGACTAAGTCCTCGTTGTTCCCTTGGTCCGTTGTTACCTTTTCGCTCTTCAGCTGTTAAATACTTCAAGCTCCTTAGGCCGTGGGTCGTTCCCTCCTCCATGCGTAGTATGTAGCCACACGGCCGCCTGGATCGAGCGGCGCTGCGGTGCGCGCGCTCAGTCCAGGCGGCCATGGTAGCCACCTTCAGTTTATGACTTGCTTAATAAATGGTGTTGTGTGTACATGTCCTTGGGGATCCCCCTGGACCGCAACCTTAGCCCCCGTCAAACTTGGTTTCCCCCATTCCCCCTCCCCTTTCTGAATAATAAAGTTTATTCCTCCTCCTCCAGTATAACTAGATGGCGTTAGTTGTTTTCACCGACGTTTTCACAGCATATCCACGGAGTGAATGATGATGAGTGGGGCGAAGCGTCGATCGGTCCATCCTTGTGTCCAACCGTCTGTCTGTTCGCCCGTCCGTCTGTCCGTGCATGCTTCCGTCCGTTCGTCCGTGCTCCCGTTGATCCACGCGTCCGTCCGTTCGTTCTTGCTTGCGAGACAGTCACGCATCAACCTCTCCTAAAGCCACGGCACTTAAACAACAGCCGCGCTCTGAATTCGTGTTAGGCATTATCAAGATTGTCGGTGAACTCTTACCGTATCCCACTTCAGCAGGACGTGACATCATGGCCTAGTGGGTCGTACGCGCTGCCCATGCCCGTGTCCGGCTGTCCATCGGCGTCGGGCTTCGTGTGGCACACGGGCTGCCGCTTCCACGACATCTTCTACGACGTCGTCGAGGACGACAAGATCCGCCATTGGAGCGACGGCATAAAACTTCAAGGTAAACGCATGTGTATTAGAGACTACAAGCTTTTCTAATTATTATCGCGATAGCAATTATGCTCTTAGCATAATAAGTTTTATAATGTTACTTATTCTGCAGGCTTTGACTCGCATCCTACCAAAAGTCAAATCCTGCTACCACTCATAGTTGTTTCGACTTCCCTTAAGCCATCATAACAAGCTGTCTAGCTTAATAAAATGATAATTGATTTGAGGGCAATTAATATGTTCATTTAAAAGGGACCTGAAATGCTTCTTTAGGTAGCCTCATGAATTCACCGCCGCAATTTTTTTTTTTAGAATTCATCTAGTACAGACGGAGCTGCAAAGATTTGCCGCACGCTGCAATTGCATTCTCTTCTCGTCCAGAGAAAGGCGCTGGAAGCCAAGTAGTGAGGGATGGCACGGCGAAAGAAATACGTCACGCGCACCTCGTGACCTTGAACCCCACCCCCATTTTTTGTTCGAATACGCGGCTTTCTCAGTGTAATCGCGCGCGCGCGCGTGGACAAGTCGCGGCCTCTCGCGGCAGCCCCGGTGACGACCGAGCGCGCCGTGTTCAAATCAGCCAATGGCTGATGCAGGCTGTGACGAGTGAGCTTGGGGTGTCATTTGGCGAGAAAATAGAGCAATTTTCAGCTGGCTTTGAGAATTTATTGTGAATTTCAGCACGCGTGCTGCGCTATAGTATTTGGCCCGTGTGTTCTCGGTAGCCTTGACTTCCGATCGGGAGCGTTTTCTGACCATGCTTAAAAAGTGTTGCAGTACCCCTTTAAATTTGAAGGGGGGTTTCGCGGCAAAGCGGATTTCTCCTGGATGGGTGCTTTCACGGCTTAACACTTAACACTCCAACGAAGCTACTTTTACAGGCCGTTACATGTGGACTAATATACATCTATTCGTTAGCTGCGAATACTTCGAAATTTTCAATAACTTGAATTCGAATCGAACCTAATTCGAATACTCTACTATTCGTTCGAATATTCGAAGCATTCGACTATTCGCACAAGCCTATAATTTACGCTTGTTTACTTAGTTTTTTTTCTTTTCGTATACCTGGTTTTGCTTGTGTTACGCCAAGCACACTAGGTCTTTTTTTTTTTGCTAATGATGATAAGTGATCATAATCAAGGAGCGTGCAGAATAAGAAGAAGCCCTTAGCCTAAGCGTGTGACTACATATAGAGCATTACGCCAAGGGACGACGACCGCATACTACAGCACATGACAGACAGCATCCGATGGCATTCGAAGGCAATCCAACAACCTAGCCTCCTAAAGTGTTTCCCACTTGAAACAGATTCAGTGAAGAATCTGCTGAATAGTTTTATCCAGGCACTCACAAATAATATCAGGAAACCAGTTCTTATTAGTGAAAATTATACAGATAATACTGAAACGTGAAGGATAACAAAACTAGAGAAAAACTTGAGGACAAGCAATGCGCGATGGAATGTAATATGATAAGAGTAACACTAAGAGACAGCAGGTTGGTAGAAGGGGTCAGGGAACAAGTAAAGATTGCCGATACCCTAGCGAACTTAAAGCTCACGAAATGGACCTGGACTGGCCATGTAATGCGCAGTGCAGACAACCGGTAGATGATAAGAGCTACAGAATGGTTACCAAGGGATGGGAAACGTGGTCGAAGAAGGCACAGAAATATGGAGTGACAAAATTAAGAGGTTCGCAGGGATAAAATATAATCAACTTGCGCAGGACATAGTAAACTGAAGATCACTCGGAGAGGTTTTCGTCCTGCAGTAAACTAAGGGCTGGAAATGATGATTATAATGTTTTATAGGCACAAAGATGAAATGATGTTTCAATAGATTTCTCCGAAAGAAAGCTCTTGCAAGGTGAAGTAAAGTTCGTTCTGATCAGGGTCGATCGCTGTACCGACTGAGCTGACCAAGAACACCGCAACTGGCTCTGCGAGGACAGAGTGCTGTACGACACGAAGCACATGGGCATAGCATGTCCCGCAGAACTGACTTGTATTATTGTGTTGGACTTCAGTTTTTTAAACGAATAGGCTCAGTGCGATGTGAGAAGATGCTCACAGGCACAAGTCGCAAAGGTGTCCTTAGCAGTCTCCAAAAGGTAGATATGTGGAGTTTAGCATCCCAAAATTACCGTATGATTATGAGAGCCGCCGTAGTGGAAGGGCTCTGGAAGTTTCGACCACCTGGAGTTCTTTAATGTGCACCCAAATCTGAACACACGGGCCTACAGCATTTTTGCCTCTATAAAAAATGCAGCCGCCACAGCCAGGATTCGATCCCGTGACCTGCGGGTCAGCAGCCAAGTACCTTAGCCTCTAGACCACCACGGCGGGGCATAGTGGTCTCCAAGGCACCAGTGATCAAAGTGACAGTAATGGGAACCAGTGGATCAATCTACACTGACAAATTAGGGTTTGCAATTTATACTGTAGCTAATTTTGTTATCGTATGTTCACTAATATGACATAAAATTAGGGTTGAGTTTCATTATTAAATTTCTTGCCAAAAGTCTTGCACATAGACATCAGCATGTCTTCACGGATGTTAATTTTTTTTTTTTTTGGCAGCATTCAAGAAAATTTTGTGAAACAAGGTACGCTAAATCCATACCCCCCTCCCTTTTCAAGAGGACGATGTTCTTCATTTGTATCTAGTAAGAAATACGTAGAAGCTCATTGATGTCGTCAAAGTTTATGAGGTCACAGAGAGAGTTGTTGCGGGAAGTTCTAGGTGTCTTCGCCTCCTGGATTTTCTTTTCGCTCGTTTGCCTGGCTTACCAAGCGTCTTCTTGCTGCAAGAGTTATGCTTCTGGTATTGTAACAGAGACGAAATTTACTAGCACGAAAAAAAAAAATAGTCTTTAAAGGCGGAGCACTTTAGGGGGCCAAGCTATACATCGTATGCTGTCGTGTGCTGTTGCTGTCGCCTGGCGTAACACTCCACATGTAGCATGTTGAGTGCGCGCTCGCACCAAGGAGAAATCTTCCCCATCTTGTTCTTCAAGTGCGTTGATGATGATCACTTATCAACAGCAGCAAAAAAAAAAAAACTAATACGTGATCTTGGAGCAATGCAGGCAAAACCACGTGTAAAAGAATAAAAAAGGAAAAAGTGTGGACCAGAAGAGAGAAATAGAAAAGATAGGAAGAAAATATAGAAGAGCAAGAAAGAGAAAGAAATAGATAAAGATAGAGAAAGATATAAAGAAATAAGGAGAGAAAAAGTATAGAACAAAAACAGAAGATCAGAAAATGAAGGAAGGAGAGAAGGAAAGAAAAAGAACCAAAGAGAAACAAAGAAGGTTGCCCAGCTCTGCACTTCTTGAGGCTCGGCACTTCTGTTTCGAAGCTGCCATTTCTCCCTCTCTAGTGTCTCTTTCAAATCCTGGTGCGTCGCTTTTGTGTGCTTACTCGCAGGAGGCTTGCAGGAGGATGGTGGCGTGAAGCAGTGTTTTTGTGTCAAGAAAGAGGACGCACCTCCCAGCAGCAATGCCACCTCCTGGCCACCGGGAAACTACTGCATTCTGCAGGTGAGATAGTCTAAGAAACACAGGTCACTACGCGCTTGAGACACTGACAAATAGAACCGCTCGCTTGAGGCAGCGGTACTGATTAGTGAAACAAAATTGGTTGGCTTTGCATGCGGGAGGACTATAGAAACAACAGTATTACAGCACACGGGCATCGTCACGATTTTATTTGACGAAAGTGGGAACACGTGCGCAAAATGTAAAAATTTTATTATTCATTTTTATGGCAGAAGCATTCAGTGATAAATTGCAATACCCTCGTTAATGTGGCGTCCGACTCCGTCATCAATGCACTGACACGTCGGCAGAGCGCAAGAACATCCTCAATGTAAGATGTGTACGACTTGTCGAGATGTCATTTGCGAGCCTCGAGGGTTTTATTTCCGAGAGCCGAACGAATGTTCGGTGTGCCAGATATACTTGGCGAAGCTGCTTTTTGAACATAGCCCAGCTGGGGATTTGATGGTTCTTGCACCTGTGAGATGGTGACCAACAAGGAGTGAGGAGGAGACTTGGGATAACTTGTAGGCATCGTCCCATTAATTAGAACAACCGATGCCATCATAATCGTCCAGCCAGACCTTCCCCACGTAGACCAGCGAAGAGATGGAGGTAGCCCTGATAAGGACAGCAGCACCTACTCGTGCTGTTTCCGGGAAGCTGGTACCGACAGTGATATGAGCGAATCTTCTGGAGGAAGAGCCCGCGAGTAGCGAACTGAGGAACCAACCTCTACAACGTACGATGTCTCAGTAGAACAGATCAGGCACAGTGCACCAGGGCAGGATAATGACGATGATTATAACAAGATTAGGAAAGATGTGCATAAGAAACATCCACCATGTATACACTAGCTGCATTCCTACAGATGTCATCATCTGCTAGTTCTGAGTGTGCCACGGTAATAAACTGTTAGCGCTCAAGTTCTCATACACATTTCTCTGTATAAGTTGTGTTCCTAAAATAGCAGTCATTGCTGTTACGCCTTGCCACGGATCTTGTGAAACTCGGGAAATGCATTTGTACTGCTCAGATGCACTTGTACGTGTAATTAATTTGAGATACTACAATTAACACATACACCTATTAAACAACAAACTAATTAACTCCGTCACATTGGCGTTTCTGCATGCCCTTACGCTTTAAGAAAAACGGAACCCTAAGTAAAATACAACCACATTGTAGTCGCACTCTTATCAACCTCAACCAGAGATTCATTGCATTCCATTACACTCATTGCTACGTTCACATGCGCTGCCATACATTAAAAAAATGCAAATAAATGCAAGTTCAGGTGAAGATGAAGCCTTGAAGAGATGGAAAATCTTTGAACACAGCAATTCACTTCAAAAAACGTTCTTGTCTTCTTCAAGGCAGCAACCCATTTGTGACCTCGAAGAATGCAAGACCTCTTGTCGAAGTGATGCACCCTTTTCAGTACAATGTGACACATCATTCGCAGGTGGGTGACGCCTGCCCCGACGGCTTCCTGGCCGGTGGTTACGTCACGTGGATAGACCGGCCGCCTGCAGACCTGAAAGCGCTGAATCGTGCCGAGGGCGCCCTCCCACGTGGCCGCTACACAGCGCACAATACCACTCTGCACTTCTGCTGTCGCAGTGACGGAAGCGTGGACGCCGCCATACGCTTACCCACTGGCCTGCCCTTCTACCTCCTGCAGTGCGTCACTTTGTGTTCGTCAGTTGTTTTGTGCTCGGGCGGATCTTCTGATAGGCTGTAACGAGGTGTGACGTGTCGCTAGGTACGACGCCGGTGCCTGCCAGCAGGTGCAGGGCATGTCGGTATTCGAGCAGTGGTTCCACTTCATGGAAGACGAGCTTGGTGCCCGGATGACCGCTGAGGCCGACTTGCACTGGCGGAGTGCCCAAGTTCAGGGAGCCGCACCCGAGACTCGACTCAACCATGTTTGACCGAGGCCTTGTGCTCTACTACTGCTACTACGACGTAGGTGCGATAAAACACGCCTCTCTTCCCTCTGCAGTGAATAATGTTCTGCTTCAGCGGGTGCCTTACATTATGCCACACTTCACATTAATGAAATTGCTGTAATTAAATTACTTCTTGCTATAATACTAACAAATTATTTCAAGTGAGCAGTTATAGCAAAACTACTAGTTGACTACCCAATTACTTTCTACTAAATTATAGCATGTCATTTAGCACATAACGATTCACCTAAAACTGAGAGGGAGAAAAACAGAGAGATATTGGTATGAGTGGCAAAGATCAAGACCCGGGCAAAGTCCTCTGTATTTCAGTGCATATGAGCTGTAAGTGCCCATAACTAAGTGCATCAATGACAAACTTAAGCTAACTTCGTTAGCATTCAATAGTAACAGTAATGTCATTACTTTCGGGCAGCTGTAATTTTTAATGTAATTGGGTGGCATTGTGAAAATTTGGAAACCGATTGATAATGTATATTGATTACCGCTCAGGAATGATTTTGCCATCAATGCACAGTGCCTCACAATGATGTCGATAAATGACGGTATCTAACGGCTAAATAGCTTTTCACTCCTGCAAACAGAAATCAGGTATTTTTCCTGAACGTGACCATCTTTTGGTGGAGTCACAGTGGAGTAATGTGATGCAGCTGCGAGCCTTCGCGGGTTTCGCGTGATGGTGGACAACACGGGCCTGGTGTCTACTTTCGACCGGCACTACGACGAGAAGAACTATGGCATCCCACATGCCATTGAGGAAGATTTCTTGCACGCATATACGTGCGCAGTGTACCCGGTCACAGAGCCATCGTTCCGTGTGCTGCGACTCAACTGCAGCCAGCCAGTGCTGGGCCAGTACGTGACGGTGCAGATATTCGGCCGACACGACACGTTGCGCTTCTGCGACTTCAAGGTGTTCGCCAAAGGTGAATGGTGATCGTCATCAGCGACGGCTTGGCGATTTTTATCAGTCAATCCACTTGCCATTGCAGAGTCATGTGGACAGCCCTTGGGCATGGCCTCGGAGGAGATCTTCGACACGCAGCTGCATGCATCGTCACTCGACGACATCTACCATTTCACCAACGCACGCCTGAATGCCGAGTATGGATGGTGCGCGTCCCTCACTGACAACCAGAAGTACATACAGGTACGTCTATGCATATGCTGTAAGCAAAGATACTCCATCAAACGTGGTACCTTGCAAGCATTCGTTTGAAACAGGGGTCTCAAACATGCTGTCCGCGGACCCTTTGCTAGCAGTCCGCGGCTTCACAAGAAATGAACTTTGCTAAATGGTATTAGCATTATTTGTTCACCTATTCCCATTAATAAAGCTTTGGTCGGGTGCGCCCAGAGATGGGACTTACCTCAAGCATATTTTTTTCCTGGGGTACCCTATGCGGTCGCTACGTGTTGGAACGTCGATGTTGATATTTTTCTCAAAGCTTTACGTCAAATTATAACAGGAACAGTGCATTTATGCATAAGCACTGTTTTTATGACATTCTCATTGAATTTGACTATCACCGCAGATGGTCGCATTATAATGCGAAAGGAGCTTGACGGATATGCTGGTGTGCATGAAAGGAAGCAGGTAATGACTAAGAAGTGGCCTTCGTATTTGCGGTGTTCCCCTCAACCTCAGTTCGAGACGTGAGATTTCGGTGTTCACCTCATCTTTACGGCTTTTGTATCACCAATTTTTTTTTTCTTTTCAAGTGGCATATATAAAGTGCAATGAAGTGTCATCATTATCATGTACAGCCTGACTACACCCACTGCAGGGCAGAGGCCTCTTCTATGATCTGTTAATCAACCCGGCCTTGTGCTTTCTGCTGCTATGTTATACCTGCGAACTTTCTAATCTCATTGACCCACCCAACTTTCTCTCTCCTTCATGCATTTGCCTTCTCTGGGAATCCAGTCAGTTACCATTAATGACCAGTGGTTATTCTGCCTGCGTGCTACGTGCCCAGCCCATGTCCATTTCTTATTCTTGATTTCAACTATCATATTTTTAACCCCGGTTTGTCCCCTGACCCACTCTGCTCTCTTCCTGTCTCTTCAAGTTAATTTTTTTTTCCATTGCTCGCTGCGTCGTCCTCGATTTGAGCTGAACCCTCTTTGTGAGCCTCCCGGTTTCTGTTCCCTAGGTAAGTATCGGCAAGATGTAGCTGTTGTATACCTTCCCCTTGAGGGTTACTGGTAAATTACCATCTATGATTTCAGAATGCTTGCCTAATGTAATCCGCCGCATGCTTATTCTTCAAGTTATTTCAATCTCATGGTTCGGCTCCATGGTTACTACCTATAAATGTTATGAAATGTAACTTAGTTAAATATAAACTTGGTTCCTCAAGTTGGCTATTCTGCACAGTACACAGATGCACTGATGTTCATGATTCTTGGAAATGGTGTTTTACTATTTAGGGCGGACAACAGGATGGCCTGTATTTAGGCATGCATAGTGTGGGGCTCCTAACTCGATCTTTATATCCCGGCAGATCGACCTGCAGAACCACACGCATATCACAGGTGTCATACTGCAAGGCATGAACACGCCTGTCAAGAGCGGCTACATCACGGCATTCCAGCTGACCTTCAGTAACGACAGCATTTACTGGACTTCCGAAGAGCAACCCGTGGGCCACAGAAAGGTCAGAAGCTTTCCCTTTCACTCGCAGTGAAGTGAGTGAGTGAGTCAGTGAGCGAATAGAAAAAATAATTTCGGCGGCGAACACCTTAAATGCGATAAAACGAAGGCACCAGCGATCGTCTTTCTCTGCGATATGATTACTCCTCAGTTCCGCACAGTGGCGTAGTGAGAAGGTGCCTCACCAGGCCTGTGCCCCCCCCCCCCCCCCCCCCCATTTTTTTCTCCAAGGCATACGAATCACAGAATGATCATTGAATGACCATTTAACAGAAGTGCATTATTAAAATCTTGGTGGACCCCGGCGTAAAACACTTTCGTGTTAAAAATTCACTTCAACGTTCTCAATCAATTGAGCCGTGAAGATTTCTGCATTTTACCTGTTGCTGCACTATTCACAAATCGACATTGCCATGTGACACTGTCACCATCGTGATTATGACGTCACAAATTTCGGCGATCTGTGATGTCAGTGATGACATTGCTTTGTCCCATTACATCACTGATAACATCATGCGAAACTGAGTCCGGGTCTCACTATGTATTGCCAGGTATCGTCAAATCTCGCAGTGCCCTAGCTGATGCCCGCAAAGCATTGTGCAGTCTCGCAAAATATCCCAAGGCCTCTTGACACGCGAGACATATAAGGCTTTCCCCTTGAAAGATGCCACTGCATGCGTCCGTCACGCGCAGGTGTACGAGTGTCATCAGTGTGAGCTGTCGACTTTCAATGCGGACGAGGCAGTGCGCTACAACCTGCTGCGCAGCGTCGGTCACCCGTTATGTCAAGTTGCAGGTGCTGCTGTGGAAGAGGGCGCCCTGCTTGCGCCTCGAGCTTGTTGGATGCCGATCCCACGGTAAGCAATCGCTTCCTTGTTCGTGCGCTTTTGTACATCTAAAATTAGGGGCACGAAGTCCTCCACAAGCTGTCTTTCTCATATCTTTAGATGGAATATACGACGCGGAAACTTCAACTTAGTGGACTGAGAATTAGTCATCTTGGTCTCATATACAAGGAATGACAAAATCGGAAGCCACACTGAGCAATATCTCAACAGCTACAAACTATATGTAACTGTATAAGAGCTTGCTCACTGGTTTCTCATCTACAAAACATTCATGGTGCAATTAAGCACAATCAATAAAAAAAGCTCACACTTCTCATTTCGACTGGTTGTGCATGAACATATATCAAGATTGGCGAATCGAGCAATAATTATTTTGCCTAGATGTACACAACTGGCACTGATATTTCTCAGTCATGTCGCGTTGCACTGACACTTGCGTGGAGATCGTTGTATCTAATGTCCGGAATGGTGACGGGGCTCTCATGCATCCCATTGTTGTCGCTCCTCATTGTGCACAGTGCCTTGGTGCCCTTTGTTAATCTCTGCTCTGCAAAGAATGTAAGCGAAAAAGAAGTACGGAGAACGGTGTACTTTGATTAAATCAGATGAGAACAATCTTTTAAGATCCTCCTGTCCTTTGTTCCCCAGTCTTCAGGCACGACGCAACACAGGTGATCAGCTATGAATCTGGCAGTGCACTGGCTTATTAAGGGTGTGGGATGCGGTGTCGGTGAAGGACGGATCCCAACATAAAACATAACGATGTTAATTAACATGGTAGCAACAGCAGGGAAAGCGTGCCGATGCTGCGCTCAAATGTTTAGAGAAACAATCTGAGTAGTGAGCCTGGCAGCTTGGGTTTTATAGCCACCTGTGGTGACGTCAGCTTCCGGTGAAAGAGCAGTGCCGCTGTCCGTTATGAAACGCCCATTGCAGTATGCGGCCGAGTCACGCTGGCTGCATTGGTTTGTGCGCAGTGCATCTCCACATCACCCCCCTGTGAGTGGAGAACCCTCAGGGCTTGTAGAAGTCTTGAAGTCGTACCGGACGCCCGGAGCGTGCCGTGAAAGTACCGGGCTGCGACGTGGCGGCTGTGAAAGGAGTGGCCAAAGGGTGCTGGACTTTCTTCTGGAGGTTGAGGTTGCGAGTGGTGCCGAGGGTGGACAAAGTGAACACCAGAGAATGGAAACTTTGCAAGCTGTAACATAGTAGGAGCCAGGGTCGTGGAAAGCAATGTGGCCAGAACCTTTGCCGCGGACAGTGGCACTGGGGCAAGGACATCTGCTGCCGTAATCATCACCGGTGGAATTCTCTTTTCAGGGGGAGCAATCGAAACTACTGTAGACGTCCGGGCAGAAGTGGTTGCCACAGTCGGAGTAATGGTGGTCTTGGTGAATTGCAACGAAGGGGTATCATTGGTCACTGGAAGCGAAGCAGTAGAAGTGGCTTCGGGTGTAGAGGGAGTCGATGTCTGTGCACGAGGCTCAACGGGAACTGTTGAAGGGGCGCTGATAGAAGCTGTGGCTGCTTTTGACTGCTCTTGGTTTGGAAGGCCAGTGGTAGACACTTCCGGTGAAGTAACTAGGAGAGTGAAAGGCCCAGCACGTGGATCCAGGATAGCACCATGACGTGGGGTCTCGGTGGAAGCAGCGCTAAGCAAGGCCGTAGTGGTCATCCTGGCAGGCTGAGCGTTTTCAGTAGTTACAAGAGTGCTTTAAAAAAATACCGGGGTTGTATCGACAAAGACTTCTGTACCTGGACGTGGCATCGGCAGAGATAGAAGCAGGTAGGCCAGTCGAGGTTATGGTAGGCATGAAAAGAATGGCGCGGAAGTTCAGCAAAGCTGGGGCAGTGGTGGTGGAAGCAGCACCGGTTGTAGGAAAAGTGGCCGCCGAAGTGGAAAGAGTAGACGGCAGGATAGTCAGCAAGGCAGGACAGTTAGAATCGGCTACTAGGATGGGCACAGGGGTAGTGATGGCTCAAGTTGCGATGCTAACGTTTTGCATGGCTGGTGGTGAGTGACATGGCACTGCCGGTTGAGGTAGGACTAGCACGAAACCTCGAAATCCGTCGTATTCTAGGGTCCCGGAAGAGGCACAATGCATCTCAGAGCAGGAGGAAACATGTCTACCGTGATGACGTACCTTTCATGCTGCGAGATGATGTTGCGCAGGCAGAAAGCAGCCTCCATATGGAGGAGCCATGTGGCTGGGCTTCCTGGCCAGAATTTGGAAAACTCAGTGGTATGAGGATGCAGTGCGCCATGGCTGTAGGAGTGATGGTGCTCGCTAGAACAGAGCTTTGGTGGGCGTGGGCCAAGCGCAACTGTTGTTGGGCCTGAAGTAGCTCTTGAAGTAGTGGCACTTTTAGGCAAAGAACAATGAGGGCTTCTTGCTCGGCCATGGCGGTGTGGTTAGTAAAGTTTCCGGGTCACCAGATGTGGGATGTGGTGTCGGTGAAGGATGGATCCCAACATAAAATGTAACAATGTTTATTAACGTGGTAGAAACAGCAGGGCAAGCATGCCTATGCTGTGCTCGAACGGTTAGAGAAACAATTTGAGTAGCGAGCCTGGCAGCTTAGGTCTTATAGCCACCTGTGGTGACGTCAGCCTCCGGTGAAAAAGTGGTGGCACTATCCGTTATCAGACGCACGTTGCAGCACGTGGCCAAGTCACGCTGGCTGCGCTGGTTTGCGTGCAGTGTGTCGCCACAAGAGAGAGGGAAAAAGCGTAAAAGTTCAAGTCATTACTATGACTCGAAAATTTCATGAGTAAACAGCAGAGCTGACAAGCAAGTCCTAGAACCTAGGGAATAAAGATAGTGTTTTTCTGGGTTTTTTTTGTATTTCTTTGGGGTTCGGAGTATTTTGTAGCCTGGATTTTTTTTCAGTCATCTCGGGTAGCGTGATCATGCTCTCAGTAAAGAACTTAATGCAGGCCATAACAAGGTTAGGAATGCTCGAACCCGGGTCAAAGTGAACGAACAAGGTTTAAAATAGTATAATGAACAGAATTAGCAAAGGAATAATCGCATTAACTTATGGCTAAAACGTTTCGGAAACTAACAATCCGACGAATTATCTCAACTGCTGTAACTATCTCGACTGCCGTAACAAGGAGGAAGTCAATAAAGAAAAGCATGTGGAGGAGATTTTCACATCACATTACTAAAGTGAGAAAAAAATCGGCCTGCCAGTGTCTTAATTGTTGTCATCTGTTAATTTCGAGTAGTACACGACCTTCCTACACTTGCGATATCACCTCTTTGGGATTTCCCCACCAGTGAAGTGCGGCACCGTGCTGGAGGCGCCCGAGGGTTCAATCTCGTCACCCAACCATCCTTTCTACTATGGCCAGGACAAAAGCTGCTGGTGGAGGATCCTGCCCCCTCGCGGAAGGCATGTCTGGCTCAGCTTCATCATCTTCGATCTTGCTCAGAGGGAGGCGTCATCCCTCGCCGGCCATTGCCAGGTTCGTTGGCGCCGACTTCGGCATGCTAGGGATTATTGCTGTAGTGAAGTCACAGATGGGACACGAAAAAGAAAACAAAAAAGCATTTTAACAGCAAGGAATCAGTGCTGCCACATTACCGCTTGTAGCCCACAACATGGCTACATTTCATATTCCACTCTTTATATTATATATCGCCTTTATTTCAATCACAGTCTATATATTTCTATTTGTAGTGCCTCTTTGTTTTGCATCATTGAAAACAACATGTACTTATGGTGTCATTCTGTGCATTTTAGATGGCCACCACACAAACGTAAGATATACAATGATTAAATAATATTGTGCGAAGAGTTTGTGAAGGTATTTGATACGCTTGTATGAAAATGGCCACTGATCAAATAAGGCACCCATCTCATCTGTTTGGGTTTTTAGAGGCGATGAATAATAATCTATTTCTTCTGGTTGAACAGGATCAGCTGTTGCTGTGCCCAGGCCCGAACTGCTCAAACTCGATTGTGTCGCCGAACGGGCAGACTTTCCCGAAAGAAATCATTTCCAATGGCCCCATGGAGATACATCTCAAGACCTGTTTCCGCTACTCGCTCAGCAGGTTTAGCGGATTCTACGCCACTTACAAGTTTACTGGTACGAACTCGGCAATTCCTTTTACTTGACGGTTTTCTGGCTACGCTGTGGAAAATTAGAAGTTAAGGATGTCGGTTTTCTCTCTGAGCACATTGCTTGCGTTTCCGAAGTAGTAATAGTAGCTGAGGGTCCCAAAACTACGATATGATTATGAGCAAAGTGGACGACTTCGAAATCATCTGAGGTTCTTTAGTGTGCTCCTAAATCTAAGCAAACGTACCTCTGGACAAATCGCCGCCATCGATACGCGGCCAGCAATTCGATCCCGCCACCTTCTGGTCAGCAATCAAGCACCGTGAACATTATACCACCGTGGCCTGATCCTTTCATGGAATGAATGTACCTGTTTAAAAAGAGTAACGTTATCACGCAATGAGTAAGGTCGGCTTGGTCAGTTTGAGTGAATGGAAGGGGTACCACGAGAAGCGAGCCGAGGAGAAGCGCTAGGTTCGATATAGTGGTGACAAAATTGAAATGTTATAACGTAAAACCTGCAGCTCGCACAGAAATTGGGAGATGCCTGCAGTGGACATAAAATGGGCTTCAGAAAGTAACTGAATGTGCAGACTGTCCAGGCTGTGGCATGGGCGACTACCACTGCTCGAGGCTGCACGTGTGTGATGCTCACTGTGGCCACATCTTCTCGATCGACTACCCCAAGCCGTATGCGGACAACCACCGGTGTGCGTGGCTCATCGTCGCACCACCGTCGCACTACATCAACGTCACGTTCGAGGACTTCGACCTGCCAAGCGCCGAGCACTGTGCTTCCGACTACCTTGACTTCTACGACGGTCGGGACGAGGAGCAGGAGAACCTCATCGGCAAGTGTTGCAGTGCTCGGCATGCTTTGCAGAGAGTGTGTGAACGCGGACGATCTAAGTTCTTAACGTTTCTGAATATTAAAAGCCTGCAGGCTGGCTCAGTGGATTTCTTTTAAAGTGAAGCTGTTCTTGGTCGAGCTCTCATGCCCGGGGACCGTCGTACATTGTAGCGGGAATAACCCACAGAAAGTGGGTAAATACCACTACGGATATGTACCACAGTGATGTTTCGTGCAGGGAATTTTTTTCTTTTTCGGGGAATCGCATGTCGCTTCTCATTTTGAACCAACGTGAAAAAGGGAATCTCCGTGATATTACAGGAATGGTTAAATTCTCCTGTGAGGACCGATAATTAGCAGTCACAGTGCGTCTTCATCTGCTGTAATCAGTTCTGATGCATTCACCACAGAAGCATGGCCTTTGAGATTTGTTTTTTTATATTTATGCGGAGCGATTTCTAGTTCACTAGTGGTGTTAGACTTGAAGTCCATAATGTGCGGTGTACTAACAGTATGTGAATTAATAAAGCCATGCTTTTGTTGTGCGGCAGTAGAGGGACTTTTCATGATTTCAAAAGTCGCCAGTACGTAAGACACGCGTATGTGTGTGCATGGATGGGGGCGGAACTTAGCACTGTTGTGCAGAGAATATTGCTGGAAATTTCAGTCAACATTTACTGGGAAAAATCCCCGAAATAGGAAATTGTCCTGTCCCTGAATGGGAATTCTTGGGCGTAGTATGAAACATCACTGATGTACTATGCCTTCCACTAGTGCCACAACTCACCACTATGCCCCCTATTGTTCCCGCCACTCTTCTGACTTCACTTCACTTCATTTCACCTCATTCCGCCTTCATTCAACCTACTTCATTGAACCCCACTGCTCGCCACCAGCTTCAATGTTTCATCAGTGTCCGCCAGGCGGAGCATGGTTGAATTTTTTCAGTGTATTGGTTTACTTATTGGGTCACTTGCTTGCTACTGCCATCACTCCTGACACTGTGCTAGATATCTCTTCCGCTTTCCGAGCTTTATACATAGTTGAGTTTGTAAAACTTCGTATGCTATATCTTACAGGATATAATGTCCCTCGTTTAAATTGCAGCTCTTGTCAAAAGGTTTAGTTTCGAAAGACCCTACATAACACTCACTCACTAATCGATATGTTGCCTAATAATGAGCATTCATGTTGTTTACCTTAATGAATCAATGAATTTACAAAAACATCAATAAAGTACGGTTGATGACTTTGTGCAGCAGGACAATCAAACTAACTTATTATGGCCTAAATGAGCATGGCAATTCGCCGCTGAATGAGTATGCAAGGGCTGGTGCGCGCACGGAAGACATTCCGAAGACACTGGTAGCTTATACCGCTGGCCTAAAGGGCAAAGCATACTACTTCTTTCAGTGGCACTGGCATATGGGGCATATATATCAATTATGACACACAAACTCGATCAACTAAGAACCACAAAAAGTGTAATAGAATGAGAACGGTAGTGTAAAAACTGAGTGACATGAAAACAACAGAGTAGATCTGAAAACGCACAGGCAAGGCGAATCTCCTATTTTTTATTGAGCGGTTACTATCATGAGAAAGCCATATAACCGATAGCCAGTGAAGACAGGAAGCACTGCCAATGACAGGTCAAGTGCAAAAGCGCGAAAGAGCGAATGTGTTCAACCTGCTCAATGTTCAATTAATATGTTCCAACTTGCGCATGGTCTCTTTTCATGATAAGAAGGCTAGTTGCATAACGTGATGAAATAAGATTGAACAACAAGATTCATCGGCCTTTGCTGTTATTCTTGTCGCAGTGGAATAATATAAGCACACTTATCTCTGAGTGCTCTTGTGTCGCAGGCCGCTACTGCAACAGCTCGATGCCCCCTCGCAACGTGGTGTCTAGCTGGAACACGTTGACTATCGTCTTCTCAACGGAAGGCAAGGGCACGGGACGCGGCTTTGCCTTATCTTACCAGTCGCTCAGCTTTCAGCTGCCGGCAGACCTGAACCAACTTGTACTTCGACAGTAAGTCAACCTCTCATTACGCACGCGAGTTCTGCAGTGTAAAAAAAAAAAGACAATCGCCATTTGATGGACACTTACTTGCCATGATGGTAGACCCGCAGGAGTGCCCTCAGCAGTGGAAGTTCTACAACTGACCACTGCTACAACATGTACGAGGAGTCAGACCCGCTGCAGTGGTACGAGGCGGAGGCCGAAGTGCGCCGCCTGGGGCAAGGGACGCTCGGGTCACCTGGTCAGCATCCTGGACGAGCGAGAGATGGCCATCATACACTACTTCCTCACCGACATCTGGAAGGCGCACAGAAAGTCACTCTACATTGGTGCGTGCATTCGCATTACTGTAGTTGTTCTGTCAGTTCTGCGACAATGCTGGTCCGCATTCATTGACCGAACCACATGGAATTCATGTAAAACATCTTGCTCGTGCAAGTGCTGCTAGTGTCCATGGCACTGTTGATTTTCCGGCTGAACAAGCGAGGTGCAAGTATGAAGAATCAACAAGGATGATGGGCAGAGCATGCCCTAAAGCATAATCATTCTTGCTTTACCAATTCACCCTATACAAAAAACTTTTGCGTTCCAAATGTCACAGCTCACAATTTTAGATGTGTATGCGTAGTATGATTGATGGATGGTTGGATGGATGGATGTAAAACATTGTAATAAGTCCTGAGGTGCTCGACCCAGAGCGGCGGCTCAGCGCGGTTAGTCGGGTCAATTGCAAAGTCAGGTCAAGCGACCATCTCATTGCGAGCCCTCTGGACAGCCCATAGTTAAGATTGCACAATTTTATAAAGGTCCAATGCGATTATTTCAACATCAGCCTGCTTGCTCTATATTTATTCTTTTATGTCTTCGGAAGTATATCAAATAATAATAATAATAATAATAATAATAGCTATGAGACCAATCAGCCGTGCATGCAGTTCAGTCATGGAAAAAAAAAAACTTACGGAACATGTTTTTCTTTCTATTTTCTTGTTGATTATAGTTTCTTAAATGGTGCAGCACTGCTAACTAGAGCGAACCATTAGTAACGCGAAACGGTGCGAAACGACTGAGTTTCCGTTTCTGTGAATGGGCAAGAGAGCACAATATTGTTTCTGTTATGGTTTGTGTTTTCTTTTAAAGATTGCGAACTGATGCTCTCCTTCTGCATGCTGGTGGCATGCTTTTGCTCAGAACTTGTACACAGCAGTTACATAAAGTGACTAAATTGTGGCACTTAACATTGATGCAGTGTACTATAAGGATTAGTCCGTACTATAAGGATTACGTACTACAGGGATCATAAGGATTAAGGATAAGGTGTACCTTAAGGATTAGGCCTATAAGGCCAGCGAGCGTGATAGCAAAAACGTTTCACGTTCATAGAAATGCAGAATCCAAACTCACAACCTGGAGCAGCCATACTGCGCAAGTCAATGCCTTACTTGTGCATGCGTGCACAGAACAGTCAGTATAGTGAACTTGTCACATGTATTACACTCAGTGCTCGACTGACCTTGATTGCAGGTCTGACCGATGCTGCGGGTGAAGGTTTCTACCGCTGGAGCGACGGTAACCCCATGAGTTATTCAGACTGGTATGTTAGGTACGACCGTATTGCATGTTCGCATAATGCATGCTTTAGCAAAAGTTGCCTCTGACTTGAGTTGCAGTTAGTAACTCTGGCTGCGGTGAAGTGAGATGGCACGGGAGTTCTCTACATACATGAATACGATGTTCACTTTCTCGAGACAATCAGGGCAACATTGGCTTATAAGTCTGTTTAAAACATTTTGCCAGATGAAAGGGGACTAACGTGACAAAACATTGGCTTATAAGTCTGTTTAAAACATTTTGCCAGATGAAAGGGGACTAACGTGACAAAGAAATCGCTCCGCATAAATATAAAAAACAAATCTCAAAGGCCATACTAAGAACAAGGAGTTGCGTCGAAGTAAGCTCCAATGCACAAGTGCATTGTGTACGGGACCAGAAGAGAGCTGCAACTGGCTTGGAATGTTTTGCGGGGAGCAGGGCGTACGCCGGCCATGGGCTGTCGTCGCAGCCGGACTGGGTTGCGTACGAGGACTGCACCATGCTGCGAGTGGACAGTGGCCACTCGACGGCGCACTGGCACGACATCCCATGCTCGCTGGGCAAGCATTCCCTGGGCACATTGAACCGCGCAGCTGCCAGCTGGCGCCAAATGGAGGAGCTGCCCATCACCACCATCAGCGCCTACATCTGCAAGATGAGCAGCCACAGGGCCGGTACGCTCATGCTTCTTGGTTTTGCGCAAACTTGGCCATGATGATGATTTACCGCGCAGACAACGCCCCTGGACCCCCTCCTCTGTACCGGCACATGAAAGCGTACGTGGGCGAGGTGCTGGTGGCTGCAGAGAAGTACTTCGTGTGCAGAAACAAGGAGGTCATCTCGGTGGTGAATGTGTGCGACGGAGTGCACGACTGCCGGGACATGTCGGACGAAAGCGACTGCGGTATGGGCCTCTCTTGCGCACCCTCACGGCCTTAACCACTATGTTTCTCCACAGGAGTGACCTGTCCCTGACGGCAGCTTTAGGTGTGCGAGTGGCAAATGCGTCTCCATAGGCGCATTCTGCGACTTCAAGGACGACTGTGGCGACTCTTCGGATGAAAGCCAATGTGGTGAGACTCTATGTTCCGTCTGTAGAGTTACGTGCCCGAGACCAAACGTTGCACTGATGGTTCGAACGAGACATATCGATTTACTCAGGCATATCCTTGGCCGCAGTTCAACTCTACAAGCAAGGATATGTGCTTTTCAAATTGCGATTACTCGATTTTTCGCGGTTCGGTGCTAAAATTGTGCTCATACACCCGGCTCCCGATCATATACATTAAGCATGCTTCTCCACAGACTACATCGAGTGCAACCGAACCGAGTTCCGGTGCAAGAACGGCCAGTGCATCTCGATCGCTCACAGATGTGACTTGCTGTCCGACTGCCACGACAATTCTGACGAGCAAGACTGTCTCGGTGAGTTTTCCATTTGTAAGCCTGAAAAAAGCATTGGCTATGGGGGCTTCACAACGCGATTTAAGCAAATTACAAGCTATAGATAGCAATGGTAATAATAAAATAACAAGTGTACGGGCGATCAAAGATGCGAGATGATGAACTGCTACACCCACACATACCTCGGCTCCAAAGCGTGTGGGTGTGCGCCACAAAAGATTCATGGTCTATACCAACCAAACTATAAAAATCTCAACCCGACAGCGTGGAGGAGACTACGTTAGAAAAATTGCAGCGCGGAAGTAGTCAGTGTTGTCAATGGGATAAATATCTTGACAGAAGCAAATAATTAAAGTCATAGCTTGAGCCCGAATCGCACCCTCGCATTGTGCATGGCAGTCAAGTATTCTACCACAGAGCGACGCCAGTGTGTCGAATGGTAGGTGGATCATGATCAAGTGTGATGTCAGGACGTCAGCTGGGTGGCAGTCTCGGCTATGTGCTTTTCAATAAATGAAACAAACATAGTCAAGCATAGTTCCATAAGTCTACGACTACTACGTTTTATATATCCGCGTCATCGCCTCGTAGACTGCAGGTCTTGGCAATCAAAGTGGCGTATCTGCTCCAACGTGAGTGCACGCATTCCGTTGAATATTTTACATGTCGGTGTCCTCGGCGTACCACGTAAGCCCATGATGTGTGCACAACTACTCAATTTACACGAAGGCCTCGAACCATTTCCTAATGCCTGACTCAAAGTGATGAATCTGGCAGAGGCCACCTGGCTCTTTCAGCATCAAATTGATTTCCGCAATGTGTGGAGTCTGCCGGATTCATTTTTTTTTCTAAATTTGTGCTGGGATAGCAACAGACAGGCCTCCAAGAAATGTGATGATGTTATGTGTGTCTAGTATATTTCAATAAATTACATGATGTACACGCTGAAGAAATAAGCCTATGCTTTGCTATGTGAAGATGATCACCTTTCTTCAATATGGGCACTACACGTGCCATGCATCTGTCATTCAGAATTAAAGAACTTTCGGAATAAAAACGAAAAACTTTTATTAACATATCTGCAATGTGTTTGGCATAGCTCAATAATGTGTTAGGGATATTATCTACACCAGCTGGGAATCAAATTTTCAGATTAAGCAGCAAAGATAACATATACTCCCGTTATAAAATCAGAATAGATTAGGTTTCCATGCGTCGATTCATGCTGGGGATCAGAGAATATGGACGTATACTGTAACTGCTAAACTGGCCAGCCATTATCGGTGCATCATTTTCGATTGAATAGTCAATGGATATTGCAGTACCTAAAGCATCCGTTTGTCCTAAATATCTCCAGGAATTTTCAGGGCTTTTTATGAGAAATGCAGGCTATACAATTCCGTAAAATGTCTTGATCTTGCATTGAAGAGTTTAGATGCAAGGCTGTCTTTTGCTTCAGATATTGCACTAACCTACTTTCTTGTGTGTTTTGGCTTACGGTGTAAATGAATAGTTTCCTTGGTCATTCACTATGGCCATTCAATTGTTTTGGAGTGCAGAAACAGAGCTCTACCGACACCACACAAACAGGTTTATTAGGGCGGCACACAGAAAGGCATTGTCTTTTCGAAAGGTGCATGAATTAACGCTTGGAACTGCGGCGGTGTTCTTGCAGGTCAGTGTAACGTGAACGTGACCTTCCAGTGCTATGACGGCACCTGTATTCCGAAGAACGCCGTGTGCGACGGACACCGAGACTGCCCTGGCAAGTACCACGAGGACGAGCAGGAGGGATGCCGTGAGTCGCTTTGTGATTATGTTTTGTTATTTATAGCAGTAAACAGTGCAGGCAAACGGGACAAGAAAGACTGGCAGGACTTGGTGCTGTCAAGAAATACCGACAGCCAGCGTCAAGTGCTGCATGTCTTTGCTGTCCCATTTGCCTCGTGTTGCTTCTTGCTAAGAAGCCAAATTTTGTACTCATCGCCCCAATTTTATAAAAATGCAACATCTCTTCATAAGATTCCAGAAACCAATCCCGGAATCTTTTCAATTTTTTAAAATATTGTTTTTTTTTCTTGTAGTATAAACAGTTGGAATAACCTGTCTAATGGGGCTTTAATGCAAGGATTTTTGGTATCGTCTGAAGTGCATTTGATTTCAGGTGTTCTGTAACCTGTTCTGACTGCTTTGCCGCTGTCTTGTTCATTTTGTCTAAATATACGTGTTTTTATGTTTTTGTACCACTCTGCCATAGTAAGTTTGACCGAAGTATTTGTAAATTAATAAATAAATAAAGAAATGCTTAGCTACGATATTGGCTTGTACACACTAAACGTGTATAACATTTGTGTTCACCACGTTTGTTACATTCTAAAATAGACAAGGCACAAGAAGGAAGTTTGTGGCGTCTTGGCTTTCTTGTTGTGCTCGATGTTTACACGCCTTGTCTTTTTAAGAATGAATATGTACCAACTCGCTCAGCTCTCTCTCGTTCTAAATTTTTACTATGCTGTCTTATTGTAAATTTCAAGAAATACTTTACTTTAAATGCACCAAGGTGGTTATATTCAGCTTGCATGTATTGTTGCAGTGAATCGATTTATTTATAGCACAACAATTCAGTGAAAATGACGAATATATATTCGTGAAGCCACTTGATTTGGGAAAAATGGTAACCGTCGAATCCATACAGCATCTCTGTAAACGTTTCTTGAAGAGCAGTGCCTGTTTGTCAACCAAGAGTTTGTCCCTATGTTTACAGCGCTTACATGGTTCAACTAACGCTTTAATAAATCATTTTTACCTACTGCCATTGAAGACTGGAATAACCTGCCTGAATCCATAGTGCACGAACAAAACACCTTAAAATTTAAACAGCTAATCACAAATCACTTAATATGTTAGTTAACTTACAATTGTTGCCGTTTTCTTCCACGTATATATATATTTTTCCTTCTGTTGACATTGTTTTTTTATCATGTAGTTCACTTTCGATTATGCTTCGTGCCATTGACAATCATGCATCTGTTGAATTGTGTTTTTGCCTCCCCCTTATGTAATACCCCGCAAGGGGCCTTTAAGGGCTCAATAAATGATGATGATGAAGAGTGGATTTCCAGTCAGCGCACAATATTTCCGGTCACATTTATGAATTCGCTTCGATGTATTCACATTTCACCCACAAAATTGTCTGCAGTGCTCAGCGCGGATCGCGCCGCATTGCTTGAGAGATTGCCAATTGTTTGAGATTGTTTTTTTAAGATTACGCGCAAGATGCGAATATTCAAGTTTATTCATGAGTTCAAGCGAGCACCAGTGATAATGCTGGAAGGTTTGGTGACATGGGTATAAAAGACGACGTGCTCCACCGATGATCTTATTCGCTGACCAACAACTGTGCCCGAAGTTATCGTTGCACATAGTGCGACACTTGCCTTATTTTCGGGCACAAGTTTGCCCTCTGAAACTTTTGGTCCCTATCTGCTGGAGTTCTGCTGGAATCACCATGGACCACATCCACCTAGTAGTGGGCGCACATCGTACTAAAGGAATGCGTCTTGTTTTTATTTGCAGACTTGGTGAAGGAAGAAGACCGCCAAGGTCTGGAGGAAGAAAAAAAGAAATGTGACAACAAGCGTACGTGATCCATATGCTCTTTTTCGTCATCCTCTAAAAACATCACTATGCATTACGGCAAGCATCAGTAACGTTTCGAGGTGCAGAAAAATTGTACCTTCTGCTTTTTTTCTGAAGTAAACTTCTACTTCAAGTTTCATGAAGCCGACATGGCCTGACAGCAAATTGGAGGAGAGGTAGGAGGGCTTTGCACACAAAGCGTAAAATTTAGGCAAACTGACAATAATTAGCAGAACTGGATTAGAAATGAGGTTTATTTTTGGCACGCTTTCACAAAGTTGCAAATATATATATAGCTAAGTTACAAGCAAAAATCTTAACTTTAGGTCATAACTGTCATGTCGTCCTTCAGATAGGAAGTAACAAGAAAAAGGGGAGCGATTTGACTTCAAGCCGGCCCGGAGCTTGCCGACCCCTGCCATAACTGAAGTGAAAATAGGTGCTCAAAAATCATTTCACGAAAAAAAGGCTAGTTTTCAAACATGTCCCTCGGTTACATGCTGCAGAGACTCACTGCAGCATTGTGGTAAAAATACAGAATCGCACTACAAGGCGTGTGGCTTCCCAGGATAGTTGAATGCTACCCCATGATAGACATGGGGCTCCAAGGTAAAATATTAATCGCTCTGGGAAGCCACACATTTTGTAGTGCAACACTGTAATTTTGACAGAATGTCCCAATGGGTCTCTGCTGCATATAGTCGGGAGTTGTTTTTGATAACTGGCTTTTTTTCCCGTGAGATATGCTTTTTTATTTTGTCTATTTCCCATTCAGCTGTGGCAAGCCACTGACGAGAGCTGGCCCTATATGCACTTGTACCCTAAAGTGACTTTAATGTACCCAAATTCTCGTCATGCCTGGAGGCGTGCTGTGCAATCGCATTTTCTGCCACGGGTGGGCAGCATCGCTTGGGGCCTAGTGGGAATAAAATGGGTTACGAGTGCGCACCTTTCCCGTGTCTCAAGTGGCTCATCTTCGCGTGTGCAGCGCGCAAGACCTGCGAGGACTTGTTCGTGCAGGACGGCATCCGTCGTAGCGGCCACTACCTCATTGACGCGGACGGTGCAGAGGGCCCTATCTTGCCGTTCTGGGTGCACTGTATCATGGGATCGACGGTGGAAGATGTCCGCACACTGGTGCACCACGACTCCGAGCAGAGGATCTACGTTCGATCGGGCATTGAGGGTGCGTACGCGCGCCCCATCACCTACGACGTCGGCTGGCTGCAGATGCACGCTCTCATCAGCGTCTCTCAGAGGTGCAGGCAGTACGTCAAGGTATGCATGCGCACTGGAGCCGCAGCTGCTTCTGCTGCTCAAGCACATCGCCTGCACGCAGTGGGAGTGTAGCGGCGTGGGTGCCGGCTTCGGCTACTCGGACGAGCGGCCACTGTCCTGGTGGGAGAGTGCGCAGGGCGAGCCGCAGTTCCACTGGGGCGGAGCTTCAGAGAACCTCACGTGCGCCTGCTACCCGGACTGCTTCAACCCTGAGCAACGATGCAACTGTGACTCGGCATCTGAGTTCCACTGGCTAGAGGACCAGGGATACATCACCAGCAAGGAAATGCTGCCCATCAGAAAGGCACGCACTTAACTGCGGCCCCCATGCAAAACTTGTATTATCGATTCTTCCACATTATTTTCCACAGCTCCATTTTGGCAACACATACAGAACGGGTCAAGCCGGTTACCACACCATTGGTCCTCTAGAATGCTTCAAGCAAGGTAGGTCACCCACTTACCACCCTCGCCGTAATGTTGGCTACCCGGTCATTGTTGATTTCTGTATTATTTTGCAGTGACATCTATGGAAGAATGCGACTCGTCGCAGAATTACTTGCGCTGCCGGACAGGTCACTTTGTCAACATCAGCACCAGGTGCCTGTACGGCTTCGACCAGTTTGGCTTCCAAGCAGGATGCCGGGACGTGTCTCATCTGCGTGGATGCGGTTCGTATGCTGTTTGTGAGCTCCACCTATTGTGTCACCGCCTCGTCTTTATTAAGGCAAAAGCCTTGTGTTATAGTAGTGATGGAGGTAATTAGGAGGTTATTTTGCAGTGTGACAAAAAAGAAAGAGAGAAAGCCCAAAATACAGCTATGCATGAGCAACTTGTAGAGCTGGCTGGCTGGGCCTCCCAGTGAAATACTCATACCTATGCCAAAATAATTGAATCAAAAAGTAGTCAACAATGAAATGTGACAACCCGAGCTAATAGTCACACCACCTTTCATTCTTAACCCTTTCAGCCCTGAGCCTTTATTTTGTCCTGAGAACCTATTTGTGCATGTTTTCCTAATAATTATATTGAGAAAGTCCCAAACAAAATATGAGCCAGTCGTGCAAATATTAATGGACTTACAAACAGGGCGTTGAATGAGGTCTCCAGTGCTGAGTGGTAGCGGAATGAGAAAAATGAGAAAATTTTTATTCCCGCCACTCACAAATGTACACAGTGAGTACATTTATAACCAACATCTCAATCGGCAGTGTGTGAGTCCTTGAAACAGCTTCATGACTACGTCCTGAAAACGGCACCTGCACCTCATATTTCCGGCCTTGGAGTCACCTAAGTAGTCGACCAAGCCTTTTCTTTGCGGCTCCCAACTCCGAAAAACTGCCACATCGTTCGTATGGTCGCAGCGAGAATTATTGAAGAAATATTTCCCCGAAGTGTGGCAGTTCTGGTTTCATTTTTGAGAAGCTGGGGAAAGTGTTGTGTGAGGCTGTCAATTGACACTACTGGGGCCAAAAAGGTTAATGGATAACTATATAAATAGCTTAAGTAGCAAGATGACTTTAGAACATCAATCCGATTACGTCTGCATTTACGTAAGAAAATTGAATTCGAAGCCATGTAATGCATAGTAGTGACTTGATAGTTTCTATTACGCGTTCACGAGTGGCTCCTGCACGTAAAAGCACATTTGGACCATTCTATTCTGTGATGCTAGGTGGCCAGCAGCTTTGACGGGCTCACTCCCACCTCGACTGCTGTTGCTATTCTCATAATACGTGGTGACGCACGGTCGGGCCAGTGCAACCCTCAAACTCGAGTGACGTGGCAAAAGACGTATGAAACGCGTACCGCTTTGCTTAAAAAAGGAGAAAGAGAGAGATACAAAATGATGCAGGAGGTCAAGCACAATATAAATGTCCAGTTTTCTGCCCTACAATAGGGGAAGCGGGAAAGATGGGAAGAAAAGCAAGCGCGCAATAACAAACAGAAAAAAAATAACTAAGAATGTACGAAGCGGGAGTGCTGCAGCTTATCTATTATGCCACTTCCATGCAAAAATTTCTATAAAGTCCTAATCAATTTCTATTAGTACTAGTTGTACAGAATTGGCCAAAGAATGAGCAAATTGACATGTTGCCATTGCATGATTCGAAATGAAAAGAGCAAAGAAGGTGATGGACGTAAAGAAAGAGACACACAGAGGATGCCTCATGTGCGCATTTTCCTTTTTTTCCGTAGTTTTTTTTTTTTGCACCTTCTATATTGAATTAAGGCCAAAGAGCGAACCAGGGAAGCCAATATTAATGCAGTAGCATTAAAGAGCCTGTTTCGCAGAAATTCCGGCATCAGTGTCATTGGTTCTGAACAAAAAATCAGTCTTATGAATGACCGAAAAATCTAGAACGATGCAAATAAAATAATTAATAAAAGCCCTTGATCAGAGTCGTATGCGTGGCAAATGCATGTTCTACCACACGGCCATGCCTCTGCTTGTGAATATAGTGTGTCACAGATTACGGGTTGCGACCCCGCGCAATGGACTCAGCCAGACTCGAAAGAGGGACAAACATTTATAATACAAAACAAAAGTCACTCCAAAATATATACAAATCTACAAAAATAACTACCAAGTAACAGGAACTTAACCAACATCTAACTGATAACCTACACATTCTAAACAAACACCCCTCCTTCTGCTGTCTTGGACCCGGCCTACGTGGTGCCGCTGACTTGGCAAGCTCATTGCCCAAGTCCTGCCGATCCTTGATCCTGACGCTCACTCAGCAGCTTGATGTGTCAGTCGCGGCTTGCGCGTGCACGCCGTTGTCACTGACGCTAGTACATCCCCTTCAGGCTACTGGTACTGTCGCCTGCTTCACCCGGCATGGCGTTCCATTGTTGATGTGGCACTTCGGGGATTGCCTTGGGTGGCTCGCTTCCGAAAAGGGGCTTGCTCAGGGAACGCTCGTCCTCGCTTGGCAGGGCGGCTGCATCTCCGAGAAGCCTCCTTTCGATCACTGCCAATTTCGCCGGCCACCTCGGCAGGCTCGTGTCTCAGGCAGCTGACCTGAACACCCGTTGCTCCCGTCGCTGGTGCTTGCCGACGATGCGACCTTTCGCCACCAAATTCCAAGAGACAATGGCAGCTCAGCACCTCCTCATCCATCTCTTCCATCCGGTGCTCATGCCTTGAGTTCCCGAACGTTCCGAGCACGCGTCTTCGAATTCTGGTCGTCTTCATCATCTTTCAACCTTGCAGCTGTCGCTCATGACATGGTGAAAATAACTTCCTCTGCCTGGGAATGCAGTGAAAGTAACACTTGCTTTACAAACACATGCGTCCTGTATACATGCTTCACAATACAACATGTACTGCGTGTTACTGTAGTAATGCGTGGTACAAGCGTCCATTTGCATCAGGTGTCAGAACATGCGAATATCACACTGACTTCATGGTTTAAGCCTTCCACTCACTACACGATGTGCACACGTTACTGCACCTATTACCTTAAAGCCAGATGGTGCGTGCATAGCAAGTTTGAAGTACGCACTCAGGACAGGATATGGCTACCACATTCAACTCTTCAAGGCGAAGCTCAAGGGTTCCCTAATGTTCCGATCTGTTATTACGCAAAACTAATGAACCGTGGCTGGTCATGTAATGCGTGGGACGGCAGTCAACTGGTGATCACCATTGCATCAAATCAGATCAGCGAAATGGATGCCAGCTGATGCGTAACACGGCCGAGGACGGCAGTGAGTTGGAGTGACGAAATTTGGAGCACAAAGATCGGCTTGAATCAATGTTCTGGCCTTGTTCGGATTCAGTTCGGATTCAGGATTAAACGGAATCAGTTCGCACAAGTCAAGGTAAATTAGATTATGATGATGTCTATATGGACTGGTTGGTCCTCATATGTTGAACACCTTTTCAGTATTTATAGTACATATTCTGTAAGATATTATGTCTAAGGACACCGTTATTATAAATCATTAAATGAACATTTAATTTGTGAAGTAAAATTAACGTTCTGGTTACCGGCTTGAATACAAACGAGGTCTTCACCCTGGGCAGTGAGGTGGCACGCCGGTCTCATGCTTCCCAATTTTTTTTTTTTGCTACTGCATTTACAGTCAGTTACAACCTAAGAATAAATGCACGCTCTGCACCCACTACTGCAGCGTACCTGTCATTCATCTGTGCAACAGAGCAATGATTGGCGATTCCGATTCTAATCATAAGTACATTTTCGCATTTTCGCTGCTAATGCAAATGCTACACATGTTATAAATTGAAAGTTTGTCGTTCTTTCTTACAATGTTTAGCCCCGCCGCAGTGGTCTAGTGGCTAAGGTACTCAGATACTAACCCGCAGGTCGCAAGATCGAATCCCGACTGCGGCGGCTACATTTCCGAAGGAGGCGAAAATGTTGTATGCTCGTGTGCTCAAATTTGAGTGCACGTTAAAGAACCCTAGGTGATCAAAATTTACAGAGCCCTCCACTACAGCGTCTTACATAATCATATGGTGGTTTTGGGATGTCAAACCTCACATATCAACCAATCAATCTTACAATGTTACGTTTGGGAGAACAGAGAAGTTGGAACTTCTTATGAAATTTGCCAAGAAGTAACACTTTTTGACCGAAAACTAGCGAAATTAACACGCGCATGTACAGACAAGCCATATTCTGAAAACGCATGAGACTGTCTGACATCCCGTAAATAACGAATGTGATTCGGTGGGACATTTATGTAATTTCTGCCTAGGTGGGACTTTGACTGCTGTGGGTGGAGCTTACATTTATTCTTAGGCTGTAACTGACTATAGAGCACAAAATTGCACACGACCACATCTACCTCCTCGGCCCCCACTCTAAATCAAGGAGGTTCTCTCATCACCCCCGTCAGAAAAAAAATTCTGCTTAAACCTCTTATCTTAGATGTGCTCAATATCGCTAATTGAAAATATTGTTATGCATATGCATTCACCACTATAATCAGCGACTATTAGTTGTTTCCATGCCTTACCTTTTCTCTCTCTCTTGTGCTTGATCTTACACTTCCGTGATAGAGTTAACTTGTTATGGCAATGCAGACAGCTCATATAGATGTAAACCTGTTGTTGGGCAAATGTAGTTTACTGTTAGCAACCGTATTACATAACTATAGTGACTGGCATGACAATAAGGTTGCTAATTATATATTATTACTTCCCTGTATGAAGTAGCTGTAAGTAGTAGTTAGTAGCCGTAGGCAGTACAGCTGCTAACCTAACAGTTATTACATTGTCAGTGAATGTGGTGACACGCGTTTAGTGCCTGAAAGTTAAGTTAACAAAAGCATAGGGTTGTGAAACGAGAATTCATCCTTTCCTTTCTATTCTAAGAATTACGTTCGTTCTTTGCTGCAGTACATGTCAGCCTTATTTATATAGCATCACTCACTTTCTCAGTACTTTGACCTCGTGGGCAGTATTCTCAGGTCAACCAGTGTGTTCATGTAAACGGGTTCTCTTGACGTCTTGCAGAGAAAGTCATCTGCCCGGAGGACTACGTTAAGTGCACCAGGTCATACTGCATACCGTCACACTTTCTGTGCGACGGAAAGTGGGACTGCATTGGCGGCGAGGATGAAATCGAATGCAGTGAGTACATGCTTCGACGCAGAAAACATGCTATGCGCTGACGAATGATGAGCGACACCTTGTATACATTGTTTAGTGTTCGACAATTTTTAAAACTCAACAAATGTACATCCACTCTGCTTGAATCCTCAGTGCAGTATTTATTAATGATTAAAGCGGAAACGTATGCGAGAAGTTAACCCACGATCATAGCGGCAAAGAACAGACCAAGTTCAAAGAAACAAAAGCCATCGTAAATCAAACAAGATATATTTCAATTTGGGGACAGTGTGGTCGGTTCAAGCACAAAATGAAGGCATCAATACGACAATTGTCATTATTTGTTTTTTGCAAGCATGCATATATATATATATATATATACAACCCACCTGACAGGTGCACGAAATATCACCAGAGAGGAGAGTTACCTGGAAGGATGGTTGACTTTAGTGTATGATTTGAACTTCTTAATTCATATTCTTTTTTTTTTCTGTTGTGGTCGGCAGTTTTGCCTTTTTATTCAGTATTGTTGATCTTTTTCGAAACCTGACATCAAAGACCCCTTCATAAATTGCCTGTATTTATATTACATGGGAAATGATAGCTAACATTTTGTTTGAACCGTCCCCGTCCCCCATCGCTACTAAATTTTCTGACTGCGGCCTACTAGCTGAGTCAAGTTTGAGACGGCTGGAGTGGTGACATGCAACCTCCGTGCTGCAGACAAGTACACGTGCCCGGGTCGCTACAAGTGTCGCAACCAGAGCTCGTGCGTGGCCCTGCATCAGCTGTGCGACGGAACCCGCCAGTGCAAACACGGAGACGACGAACACCTTTGCGGTAAGCAACGCCCGTCATTGGTGTACGCTCACTTACACATTTAAGGGCCTGTACAGGCGCTACCCGTGCAGCCGCACTGCACGTCGCGGGACACCTGTCGCACTCAAGCGAAGGGTGAAAGAGCAGTCGCCGTTACGCTCGCTCCGCTTGCATGCGGCAGGTGTCCCAGAACGTGCGGTACGGCTGCGCAGGGAGCGCCTGTACAAGCCCTAAATGGGCTCTAAAGCAGAACTTTGAATCACAAATTATTGTTTTGTGACTCTATTGACGTAAACCTCGTCATTATTTCACAAAGGACAATGGCGTCCCTTTTAGGCGTGCGCCCGAGGGGGGCAGGGGAGGGGAGGTGCCCCTTCCTAGTCACCTAAGAGGGGAGGTGCAAAATCTGTCCCATGCATTGACGTTATAGGGAGGGTTGCACTGCGATGAACCTTTGCACTCCCCCTTAAATGGAACCCTGCACACACCTATATGGTAGCCATACAATGAATCCCCCCTTGCTGTGATAGTACTCAGCCATTTGTTATCTGTCTAGATCGGACACTGTTATTACTCAGATGAGAGGATGAAGAGCTGCTGCTCTCCTCGCAGACCTCAAGTGCCCAGCAGCGTGCAAATGCCGAGGCCACTTCGTCAAGTGCATCGAAAAGAACCTGGTTGCCCTTCCCGACGACCTGTCTCACCTCGTACGAAAGCTGTGAGTGTACGACGAACAGTGTAGTTGCCAAAAGTCGTGGCTCACTTTCGTGTTTCTTCCAGAAACTTCAGCTTCAACCGCCTAGACATTCTAAAGTCCAACTTCTCACCTTTTAAGAGGCTAGGTGAACTGTAAGATATCCGCAATCTCGTGCGTAGGTCGCTCGTCACGTAACTAAGCCGTAGTTTTTTGCAGGATACTGCAGTACAATGGACTGACAGTGCTGCCGTCGAACAAGTTCATCGAACTAAAGAACCTCTACCTCCTGTAAGTGACAGAAACTTTCTTTATTACAACTGACTGCCACTTTGTTTTTCAGTGACTTGAGGAACAACCGAATTGTTCAGATAGAGACTGCCGCTTTTGCAGGCCTCAAGAATGTCAGATTCCTGTGAGTTGTTGAACACACTAACTATTTCGCATGGCTTTGTCATTTCTAATATCCCTTTATGATTGTGTGCTATAAATTTGCAAAGATTACTGATTTTCAGGAAGCATCTATTTTCACCTTTTTTTTAACTGTCATACAAGCATTCGTATTTAATGCAGACATCTGGAAAACAACCCAATACTGTCGGAAATAAAGGCTGGCGCATTTGTTGGCCTCAACAAACTGACATTCCTGTAAGTATCCCACGTTTTGTGAAGATTTCAGTCTTCTAAATCGTTTAAATCAACTTTCAGTGTCCGTAAACGAAACCCGCGACCATCAAATTGAGAGTGTTGTGCAATGGATGCAGTGTTGGGGCTCTACAAGTATCGCGATTTCATTCTATTTATGGTAGATTGAAATCCGCGATTATAAAAAAGTTTTACCGTGCACAGAAGGTGCTATGTGTTCACGAAGGTGCTGAAAAAATTGTGGAGTAGAATCGGGCGCTCGGTGAACTGCAAATAATAATAAAAGAAATAGATATATTACGGCCTAAAATTGTGAAGGTGTTGTCATGGTATTGACATTTTACAAAGACAGCAATCGGTGTTTTAAAGACTATTCTTTTTATTTGTGCAAACAAGTGCGTTGAAAATGATACAATGAATGGGTTTCGTTGTGGCAGACTTCATGCCTTAAAGTGGTATGCGAGGAATAATTGGTGAGCTGCCATCTCATGATAAGATCCCATACTACGTGACGCCAAGCAGGCAAGAAAAGTTGTTTGTTCCACACTCACTGCAATGGCAGCAGGTGGAGCTGACTTATGCTCCCACGTTTAATGCACGTATATATACCCTATAATGTGGATGGGGGTATAGCTGCCACTAGCCACCATATCCTCATTGCTGTTTGGAACGGCACCCATTTAGGAATTACTGTTCTGCAAAGGGTCGATCGAAGCAAAAATGATTTGCGAATCACGATGATTCCAAGTTCCAGACTGTCGTATTTGACCATAGTCGACATTTCGTACGGCGACAATGGCAATGCAGGTGACAAGGCATGACTGCATGTGTGCGCCTAGCAGACGGAAAGTGTGCGAAGCAGCATAGCCTGATGTCACTCTTTTCTGTGGAGGAGTGGTCAGCTGTAGCATATCTGGAGGTGACCGCGAGGTAGCGCCACTGGTAGAGCTTTCAGGGCTAAAAATGGTGAGATGGCCAGCTGTTTAGAATCATGCTAGATACCAGTGATATAAATCAATAAAAGTGATAGTTATTCGTCCCTCAGTTGTGTTATAGGTCACGAATTACAACTAGGGGGTCAATAGTACCTGTTGACGCAAAAATATTGACATGAGTAAATTTTATATCAGTGCTCCTTTAAGAAAGTTAGAGGAAGTCATTATTGAAAGATGCATTCAGTCTACGACGAAATGATTTCTTTACGCGTTGTGAAAGTACATTGTTGCCGCAAGCACATTGTAGCCGCAAGCTCTTACATTTATTTTTTAATTTCGAATAGGAACCTAAGCGGCATGGCCCTTTCTGGGCTAAAGAAGAACACCTTTGTGGGCTTGGATCAAGTAACGACACTGTAAGCATGCATTCAATTATCTCTTCTCAATAATGTTCAAAGTTGATTCAGCCGGGCCCAGTTGCGTAACATACGGAACGGTATAAATGATGCGCTGCTGAGGTGCGCACAAACACTCACGACAAAACACGCAATGGGCACTTGTTCGTCTCGTGGTTCGCCTCTGCGACACGTGCATCATGTGCCCTTTTGTTTTCTCTCGAAATTTGTGTTTTCAAGTGCTCCTCAGTCAATGTAGTGCCTGGCATTTATATGGGGCAAGGAGTAATAAAACATTCGTGGGTACATTCATTAAAGCTTGTTTGAACATTTCTATACTGCTGGATTGAAACTGCATATACAAACATGCCGAGTGGCTTAAGAGCATTTCTTAAGTCACACGGCCTTTCGCTATTTATGTATAAGAAGGAAATAAACCTTAAACTACCATATTTTTTTTTACACATAAACAAAATCAATGACGGTGTAGTTTCACAAAGTAGTGAATGTCTAAATGTAGGAATCTACGGAACAACAAGCTGCAGTACGTGGAAGACGGGGCGTTTCAGGGATTGAAGAGCGTCACCAGCTTGTAAGTCGAGGCAACACGTGCGCCGCTGACGTCCTGACAAGTATACATTCTTTACAGAGACATTCAAGGCAACGCCATCGAGCACTTCTCCCACGAAATGTTCCATGGTCTCCACTCCCTCGAGTCTCTGTAAGTTATTCTATTCGAATGGCTTGCCAGCTATTGTAGAATGCTAATTCGAGCAGCCCCACAGCTTCAGCGATTCATTCAAGTTCTGCTGCCTGGCATCGCCGCAAGTGTCGTTCGACTACTGCCTGCCCCCGGCGGATGAGATCTCTTCATGCGAGGACTTGATGAGCAGCCCCGTGCAGCGCTCCTTCCTCTGGGTGCTCGGAGTGGTGGCACTGCTGGGCAACCTGTTCGTCATCGCATGGCGCCTCAAGACCAAGAACTCTAACCCGGTCAGCTCGACGCTGATCTTGTCGCTCGGCTGTGCTGACCTTCTCATGGGCGTGTACCTGGTGGTGATCGCCAGCGTGGACATCTACTATCGCGGCCGCTACATCCAGAACTCGGACGTGTGGCGCGCCAGTGCGCTGTGCAAGCTATGTGGATTCCTCTCCACGGTGTCCAGTGAGAGCTCCATTTTCACGCTTGTGCTCATCACGGCCGACCGGCTCATCTGCATCTCCTTCCCTTTCTCCATGGTGCGTTTCGGCCTCAGGCGCACCTACCAGCTCATTGCGGCTGCATGGGCAACCGCAGTGGCCATCGCCGCACTTCCCCTCGTCATACAGCCGTACTTCCAGGTTCGCAATCCCTCTTGTTGCAAAGTCGTCATGGAATGACCAACTGCACTATACAAATAGAACATGCACAGTAATCTAATCTAAAGAAAACTATATGAAAAAAAAAAACTAACATCATCACAAACGAAAAATTGCTGAAGCCCATTTATACATCGAATGCTTTAGTCATACTTGAATCGCACTTAATGATAAATGTTATTTGGCTGCCAAGACAGGATCCATGGTGTTTCTTGTGCTTACAGGGGATAGTATTTCTTCTCAAGCAGAGAGGAAACGCCCCTTCAGTCTTTTCTCGGGCGAAGGAGCATGGACGCTGGAGAAAAAGGGAACTTAGGGGGAGGGGGGGGGCTGCGTCGCTTAAGCAGCAAGTGTGTACTTTACCGTAAGGCACGGTCCAGGACTTCGTTGCTGTCCCATTCACTGCTTTGCCATCGCAGCGAAAGTGTGATTTATTTTACAGCGAAAGCTGCTACGAGATCACAAAACGGGTCTCGCGCAGCGCCGTAGTTGTCCGCCGTCGTCGCTGCCGGTGTCCGTAAGCACATCGCGCGAAATAAGCAAAATAAACTTAGTGCCAATGACACAGTGGGGCTCAAACCAGAGTCCACTAGGTGCCAGCCCAGTATTCTACCGCTGAGCCATGCCGCTGCTTGGGACTTCTTGCCAAAATTGCCTTAGGCAGGCTTGTTGTCGGGAAAGCAATTGCATTAATATGACTTATAAAGCGTTTTAAAACAGCGAAAGAACAAGCAGTCGTCGCACGATGCAATTAGCCTAATGAGTGCGCTGTCCCATTACAAAAGCTTGTTCTTGTTCAGCTATTAACTGTGGCGCATACCCACTTCAGGCATAATTCCTCATCATCGCCAGCCACTGCATGAACAATTGGCACAAAATTCCTCGCAATAGTTTAGCAGATACCACGCTTCTCAGAAGAATGACTAAAACTAGCATAGCAAATGCCGGCCACTGCCCTAAAATTTTTATTATTAATGCCTTAGTGGGCATCAGGCAGGTGTACTTGCAGCAGTTACCCAATGATTATTTAAAAAAGGCTTTAAAAGGCCGCTGTTCTACATTTTGCTTTGACTGTGCTGCGCCTTCCACGCAGGCCTGGCGTTTTAAACACAGATGGTGTCCATGTAATGTAGTCGCACTTTTTGAACACTGGTTATAGACCTGATCACTGTTTGAACTGGTGCAGGGCGAGTTCTATGCACGCTCGGGTGTGTGCCTGGCGCTGCACATCACGAACCAGAAGCCGTCCGGCTGGGAATACTCGGTGGCTGTTTTCTTCTGCCTCAACTTGTTTGCCTTCGCCACCATCGTGGCCGCATATGCCTACATGTACCTCAGCATCCAACGCTCCAAGACGGCCGTCAAGAGGCATGCTGCACGCCAAGCGGACAGCCTGGTCGGACGCCAGATGGCGCTCATCGTGCTCACTAACTCGCTCTGCTGGTTCCCCATGATCCTCATGGGCCTGATGGCAATGTCGGGCGTCCGCATTCCCGGCAAGTCTTCCTTTTTTTATTGCAACAAACCTGGAAGCAAAGAAGCTTTGTTGGTCTGGGGATCGAAACCGGGACAACGACGGACTTATTGTCTATTAAGTTTTCCTTCTGAGAAATCCACGTGAGATGTTATGTGCAGATTTGTGCTACATAAGGAGTGGGTGGTTGTCAGTTTTCCCTTAATTACCACAAAAACAGTGGCATTGAATCGTTACATATGCTTTCTAACACTTGGCAACGGCACTGCATGCTGCCCACAAATTCAAGCACCGTCGGACATTGTCTTCACAAAAGCCCTGCTTTGAAAAGAGCTAATTGAAAACATTAATTGATGCCATTAGTTGTGTCATCGCGATGGGACGGCATGGCTTTCAGCGGAATGGGAATATTCGTGCAACATAAAGCACTTGCCAATATAAAATCTTCATCCCTAGTACACCTACATTCTAACGTGGCCTGCAAGCAACCAAGCTCGACAACCGAAACTACGATTGTTCACGGTTGTTATATCGTCATTTGGCTCTTGTCAGTGCGATTTTACTATCCCGATGGACACATAATTTTACAGCTTTGTCAAAATATAAATACAATATTAATGAGAACCAACAGAGAATATTGCCTAGGAAAATATATGAGATTTATTTCTAATAATTAAGATGTAAATATTGAGAAAGTAAAGCTGATGAAAAGATCACTTGCCGTTTGCAGTAATCTTTGCTGTCGGTGCTGTCAATGTTGTCACCCCTTTGCAGCTGCCTTGAGTTGGCTTCAAGCTCCCGTCCATGCTTGAATGCACAAGAACAACATAGTACGAAACGCAATGATGGAAGTGCTGCTCCAATTGCTCCAAACTGCTTCAAAAAAGAAATGCTGCTCCATGCTGCTTCAAACAACACTTTTTGTTAGTAATTGCTCCAAACCTGCTCTGAAGTGACACCGAGAGAACGAGGGACTTTTGCTTTTTGACTGACTCATAAGTCCTAAATACACAGAAAATAATCTCTGTACTACTGTCTAAGTGTGCTACCAGTGTGCAAGAAGCTCCAATCACACTTGTGGGACAAGAACTGGCAATTAAGCAAATAGCTCATTTGGCAGTTTTTTTTTTCTCAGCTAGTCATGCAGGCTAGTGCAGTCAGATGTGAAAATGAGCAGGATTGCTTTTACCTCATACCGGTGATTTTCTGCTTATTTGGCAACTGTTATATGCGACTATGGCTATTTCTGAAATGTGGTACTTGGCTTTTCCAGTACGATATGATTTCTGCCACAAAAACTAGTATTTTAAGTTATAGCCTATTTCACAGCCCGTTTAAGACAGCTTGCCATTGTTTGCTTCATGAAATTTACATTTGTTGTCTATATATATATTACTATTTACAAAATGCTTCGACAATGCTCTGAAGTCCAGTTGATGTGCGGCAAATTTAATATCTTCTCCTTAAACATTAACAGCTACTCTAAACTAGCCTTTTTTTTTTTCTGCTCCGAAAATTATTGTGGCTGCTCCAAAACAGCACTTTTCCTGCTCCAAAGTGTGCTCCAAAAAGTAAAAAAGTCCCTTCCATCACTGCAAACATAATCATATATGATTATGTTTGGTATCACTACGGCGTCGATCTAAGCACATATTTGCAAAAAAAGAAATGGCAGCTGAAGCGGCCACTGATGTGTAGACAAGTGTGACTGCACGCTCGTCAGTCTTAAGAGGAGGGGCCTGCATTTGTCGTGCAGGTGAGGCGTACGCGTGGACGGCAGTGTTCGTGCTGCCTGCGAACTCTGCAGCCAACCCGCTCATCTACACGATCGCATCGCTGCGCTTCCGCTTGTTCCTGCTGCGCATCGGGCTCGCTCGCAAGCAACACTCGCTCTCCTTCAGCAAGGCCATCGCACGTGAGTACCGTCGAATCATCATTTCCATACATTGGTGACGCATTCTTTTGAGAGAAATACAGACAGTTTTCTATTTACTGTTGTAAAAAAACATGTCAGTTCAGGGCTTGTTAACGTCGAATTTGGAAAGGAAATTTTAGAGTAATAAGCCCTGCATGATTAGTGATTGATCTTTTCCATGCAGATCCATCATTGAATTTCCAGACCACAATGCCGGAAAAACGGAAACTAGAGTGTGTTAGTTTCGACGCACCTGGCTGGTTTGGCCGCACTCGGCACATTAGACGCTTAAAGCGCCTCGAAGTTAATATATCTAGTCTGGTAACACTGATATGCGCTGCCGCCAGTGGCACTCTGGACATTATCAAATTTTGCCATTGGTCAACTCTCATTGACCCAGAGAGCTGATATGGCCTCGCTGATTGGCTTAAAATCCCATTGTTAAAAATTTGAGTGTTTAAATAGCATCTTTCGTCGCAGTATGAAAAGATAAACAAGTGTGGTGAAGGCCTTGAAAAGCACCCTTACCATTCGAATTTCAGGATGTGGAGAGGAGAAATGTATTACAGGCATTAGGCCCCTAGCCATAGTGGAGGGGAGGGGGGCCCTACAAGTTGCACTTTGGGTGGTACTTTGAACTAACTCAGTAGCAATATATTTACAACATGTTTGGGCAGCAAATAGCATATAGTAATGAACACCTGTATAAAGAGAATGGGGCTCCCAGGGCACTTTTTTTTGTTAAACTCTTTTATATGGATGCCACTTGCTATCGTTTGAGGGTACACAATGCCTCTCGCTTTTTGCTCAAGGTCACTTGACCTCCGACATCATTGCCACGTTTAAAAACTTATCCATTTGGATAAGAAAAGCCACGAATCTCAAGAACTATGTACATCATTGCCATGGTGATTGAGGCACCGTTCAGAGTAGTGCCAGATCCTCCTCTGTATATATTTGATATGGAATTCTGCTTGTGCGTGTCCTTTTAGGTGCTGCAATACACGTGCTAAACCAAAAACAAGGACGCCCGCTTGAAAACTTCGTCTGCTAGGAAGAGTGGATAAAGTTGTTTTTTTCCCCCAAGCGCTAAATAGAAAGCCATCATCTTTTGTTCCTTTTGATGGACTCGTTTTCGGCGCGTGCAGATGCGAGCAACGGAGCCGCACGTCGAGATCACGACCGCGGGGCGCACACATTCCGAGCGCCGCACGGCTACATGCCTCTCATGCAGTTTCTACGCTCAGAGCCTCACGTGACGCCTCATCAGCTACTCCAGATCGCCGTTGGTGTGTGCGAGCTCATCTGCGAGCTGCATGCACACAACTATGCTCTCGGAGGAATCAACATAGACTGCGTCTTCGTCACCCAGGAGGTATGTTGCTGAACCGGACTGTACGCGCACGCATTTGTTGAGCATGATGAAGCGCCAGCAACACACCCAGCAGGCAGAACACAAATGAAAAAAAAAAAAATGGGCAGTCGCACTCAAGGTGAAAGCGGTAGGAGGTGCAGAGCTGTGCTATTCTTGCCCCTCAGCAACCCTCGCGTTCCTGGGCAAGCGCGCGCTGGTGTCTAAACATGCAGCCTTTCTGGTGTCCATAGCAGGAGAGGGAACCCTCATTTCCAATGCAGTGGTGCCCCTTCTGTTCTCCTCCTTTCACATCGCCCCTCTTCACAGTCGCTTCCATACCCGTTGCAGTGTATGCTCTGTATTTCAACACCTTGAATTGCTGTGGCTGCTTCAAGCCTGCCATTGCACTGCAAGGAAGAAGGACATGGAGGTTACCCATTTTGGACTGCGAAGCTGCAGCATTGTTGCAGTTGCAACAGATCAGATAAAACAACCATACGAAGGGGGGGGGGGGGGGGGGGGAAGGCAGCATACACTAATGGAGCAAGGCAGTGCAGCAAACAGCGTAGCTTGGCAGCCTTCCCAGTTCTCTCTACCAGTTTTCCAAAAATTTATGTAAATACTATATTTTTTTTAGTATAATTTTTCTGGTCATTTCCATTCTTTTATCTCGATTCTGCGAGTTCATATTTCTCTCCAAGTCTTTCTTCCCTTTGTCTTTGGCCCTCCTGAATCTGTTATTGCATTCCACACTGGACAAATCGGCACAGCAGGAGAGCCCGATCCAGCGCACGTGTTCGGGGACCGAAGCAGAACAAGACCTAGAAGGACGCAGCGATGTGCCCCAGCATGATAATTTTAATTGCAGCGCTCATGAAGGCAATTCGGCAGTTTGCCAAATTTAACATTTCCATTGCTAGACCAGATACACACAGTCCTAACCAGTATGCGAACAAAGGCCGATACTTTCACACTTTTGCGTAGGCGGTAGAGAGTGTTGACATGAATTTGTAGCCCCCTACATCAACGAGACTTGACATTGCAGCTGCTGTAAAATAAAAGGTTTCATACGATTCCATCAAATATTGGTAAAATCATAGGCTGGCATTCGTACACTTTACAAAAAATTTGGAGAGATTGGCCAAGTGAAACAGACTTTGAGGCAACTATAGCAATTTTGATGATCACATTTCACATCGTGCTCAAATTTTTGTTGCAGACTCCCAACAAGGTGCACGTCTATCTGCCAGACATAAATGCTTACCGTATAGACTCCAACAGCTACAATGCAAATGACACAGCTGTGGACATGGAAGAATTTGGAGGACTTGTGAAGAAGATGCTTCGAGCCTACCATGTGTCGCAGCGCACACGAGAGTCATCGAAGTCAGTGACAGAGCCCCCTTCCCCCCCCCAGGGAAGAAAACGCTTCTGCTACGCAGGTGCATATCTTTAATTAACAATGGGCAATAAACAAATGTGCATGAAGGGGAAAAAAAAGATAGGCACAACAATGTTTTTTTTATGCATGTTTTAGTACAATGTATATAACAACTCTTCCAGTTAAAAAAAAGTAAAAAAAAATACATGAAGCCCTGTACAGGCGGATTTCAAGGCAGCAGCCTACATAATTCCACAAGTCCAAATAAATAGTTTGGTTCACGACAGGAGCGCTGCAAGCTAAATATATACAACTAGCTCTAGTGCCGGGACCATTCAGAAAAAAAAAAGTAAAAAAAGCTAGAGAGGGAGGGGGGGATGGGAAAGCTGGTGTGCATCTGAAATGAACCTATGCTGCTTCGCGCACGACACTTTCACGACGAACATGTTGCCATAGGGAGTCTTTAAAAAGGCTGTCCACAAGAAAGAGTCCCACACTAGTGCGTCTGGCACTGCACACCACCACGCGGATGGAAGTGGTCCTCGTCCTCTTCGTAGGCTTCCTTGTGCTGTCGCTGGCGCCGTGCTTCCTGTTCGGGATCCAGGTCTTGCAGGATCACCTGTGAAGAATTCAGCCTCACTGTCAGACCACCGCAACAGGGCTTGGCTGGGCTGACAATTTATTCCCAAATGGCAGAAACATTATAAAGAAATACTAAGAAATTTACATACTGTTGCTCTGAATAAAAGCACTGGTCTCTAGAACCCCAGCAAGAGTTCTGCAGTGCCTTTTCATGCTGCTTTCTTAAAGGAACTATAAAGGCAACTATTAAGTCGACGTTGATTGTTGAAATAGCGGTCCAGAAACAGTGTTAGTTTTGTGCCAAGGAAGGGCCTGTTTTGAAATAAAATCATTTTAGTGGTCCGCATCGGGTTAGTGCACTTTAAATTACCCGCCTCAAGAAGCGCACCAACTATTGTCACTGTTGCCGTTGCCCAGCTTTAATGCGCTAGTAGCAGCAGACCGAAAGCAGCGGGAGCCACAGCAGCTACAACGGCCATTGATCAATTTCCCGCCATTGGCTCCAAGATTGCAGACGTTTCTCGGTTCAACTGCGCCCCGCTAGACGACACCACCTATCCAGTGTAACAACGAGAAAATTGAATTTTTGAACCACTCACGTATTCCCCATAGTAACGCCCGGCGGTTGTTTTTTCCACGAATCAAACAGAAATGAATGAGCAGCATTTTATTGCGTCTCTTGATGCACGGGAGGTTTTTTATTTAGTGCAGCTAGATCGATCACTAGCGATTAATTGTAGGCGGTCCGTCTAATGTCATCGAGGTCATCTCGAGAATGTCTTACTGCAGCGCACATGTTATTGTGCACTTACCCCAATTTCTCGGTAAGTAGAGCACTGTTGTTGATAATATTGTCATTTTAGATGTCATACATTAAGCTTCCACTCTGACGTAAATTGTTATTTGACTTTAGTGTCTCTTTATAGGGGCCCTGCCACACCTATTCAAGTAATCAATCAAATTGTTAAAGCAGTTTATTATCTCTCGAATCGATTGCCACAAAAAATTTTGAATCCGTCAAGTACGAGCAAAGTTGCACAGATTCGTCGCACACTTTTAAGCCACACAACGCGTGATGACCAGGGAGCAAAAGGATTCACCCATCACAGCGGATGATATTGCTTCTCACTCAATACAGCATTTTTGTTTCAATAAATAGATGATGCATACTTCAGAGGGAAGAACAAATACGTTTTCAAGTGTTGTAAATATATAATTCATCATATCCAGATGCCAAATCTGGAACACAATAGCAGCTAAATGCATACAGTGGCGTTTGAAATTCTTCATGCTTCACTTCAAATCACACGGTCACGAAAACTTTCTGCAATACATTTTACATACAAGGGCTTCAGAACTATGCTAAAAGTTCAACAGGCATCTCAAATGCAGAGATCGAAATCCATCCAAAGCCTGTGCTTCCTATTATTCCCATGGTGGCTCAAGTGCCGCTCTCAAAAAAGTAACCTAAGTATGTTTTACATACTGTAATTACCATTATGAGCTTATCACATGTGCGCAAAATATTACATTTCCACAACCACTCTGCACCAAGGCTTCGCTGGTGATGCACAAGCAGCCATTTTAAAAGTTAGGCACCTGGCATCGTCACATCTAGCCAGAATCATGCGTGAAGTCACCAGTACTAGTCCCGTAGCCCGATGTCAAAGTACTGTTGATGTTGGTAGCTGTGCCACAGGAAAAGAGACTTTAATGTGACAATGAAATATTCGAGAATCAGCAGAGCTTCACACTTGCTCAGTATACAGGAGGTCTTGCTTCCAGAGCACTATAAAACTGTGTCAGTACCTTTTTAATCATGCATGCTAAGAAAATAAATTTTTGCTATGCCTCAAAATCATGTTGGTGTTCCTAAGAACTTGCGTTTTGCAAGAATTGAAAGGTCTTTGAGAAAGTCGAGAACATCCACGTTATGCACGAAGGCGCTCCAATAATAGGGAAATCAAGGCAAATTTGGCACCAGTCCGACATTCCGGAAGAAACTTAAAAACGGAATTGCACTCTGCTTGTGCCTCGACACACACGGTAAAAAAAATATTGGTGCTCTGAGAGCGTAAAGGTCACACAGGTGCAATGAAACAGCAGGGTTCCCTATGCAGTGGGTTTTATGAAAGCTGTGCCGACACCGTAGTAACTGGGAATGGATCTACTGTATTCAACAATACCCAACCTGCCACATAACAGCCCACAGTGTGTTATGTTGTAAAAAATGGAAGTTTCGGGGCCCTTGAGATCAAGTACAATTTCAGAGACACACGCCAGCATTCAGAATGCCTTACCTCTTCTGCATTGTCAGGGATCATGCACTCGTTTCGTGCAGGTAGCAATGCCTCCAGCTTGCCAACAATTGTGGGGTCAATGCGATCCGGGAAGTTCACCACAAAGTGAAGAATGAGCTTGCCTTTCTCAAAGGGGTTGCGGTACTGAGGCATGCCTTCATTGAGGATGCATTTCACTGATCCGTTCTTGACCACCTCTCCTGAAAAATATATATGTATATACATTGACAGACTGTCCAACAGCAATCAACCTGCAGTGCCTTTGTTTCACAGCTATGAAAGACATAAAAAACTAATTGGGGCATACGACAAGTTTTGTGACGCAGGAACCAGTGGAAGCCAAGAAATCTTTGGATGCTTGACTAGTGGGTTTGTTCACGAACCTTCGCTGAAAAGTCACAGTGACTGCACAGTTACGCGTGCAAAGGTAAGATAGTCTAAAGTTGTATTCTTTTTGTAGGCGCCGGAGTAGAGTTTACCAATCAATTTGATACTAGTGTGATGTTCTACGAATCTAGTTGAAGCTGTGGGCTTAACAGCGCCTACAAACTTGCGCGTACAAACACCATTGCACGGGGCACATGCAATTGTGGTAGAGTGCACACGAGACTGAAGTTGCGACATGGTTGGCTCACCTATAGCTTTGATCAATCAAATGGAAAGTACCTAGAGCGTAAAATTATTCACTAGACCAAGGTAACAGGTCACCTGTGCTTTGATGCAAGTGTGCTGAGCCGGGTCACCTTAGAGAGAAAAACAAAAGAGTGTGCCTCTTATTTAGGGGAGACGTGGGTCTCGACATTTTTCTTTATTAATTGTCTGAATTGAATGAAACTTAATGCACTTATTCAGTTTCTTCTGCAGATTCCAAATCTTCTAAGTAGATTTTGGATAGCTGCATCAGAACAGAAGGTACTAAATTTTTATAATACACAATGAAGATATTTCTTACAGGGCACTTTGGCAATTTCAGCCATGTCAAACACAAAAACAAAGTATATATCCAGATTGCCAGAGAGTTGGTCTAGCCGGTGATGCTAATTTTATCATTCGTTAGCAACAAACTTCAAATGTAAAGTAAATGAATACAAACGTGAGTGAAAAATTTCTGCCTTATATTATTTGCAATCATCATGAATTACAATTTGGTGAACAACATCTAGAAGAAAATGAATAGCATAACCAGCTAGATCAATTCAATACGAACGCATTGGTATCAAACTTGTTATTGCAAGTCAATAAAAACATGTCAAAATGCACTGTAAGGCTATGTGTTACGTCTAAAATTATTAAACCAAAAAAAAAATGCAGTTGAAGTTTTAGTTTTCCATAAATTGATGTGGTATTGCAACATAACTGTATAAATGGCATCATTATCTTGTTCCTGAAGGGCAAAGCTACATAATGTCATATATGTTACAACAATGTCACAGGAACCATGAAAAATTTGCTGTATTTGCATGCATAGTCCTTGTGAATAGTGCGAGAAAGCTGCTACCAAACACTTCACCGTTGTATTTCAGCTTTTTTGTGTACACTGTGCATAAAAATGACATGCCTATGGGGTTTGTGCTGTCGCTATTTGCACCTAGGTCAGGGTCACAAAAATAAAAAAGGGAAAAATAACACTGTTTGAATCATCATTTTCACTGGTATAGCGCACCACGACGGAACACACACAAAGGAGAGATGCACACACACACAGTGCATCTCTCCTTTGTGTGTGTCCTTGTCGTAGTGCGCTATACCAGTGAAAATGATGAATCCCAACCAACTAGCCCGGCAACGTGCCTTAACTGTTTGAATGTTTAAATTCTCGCAATGACAAGGGCTTGAATCTACACTTACAGCCGTCCTGGAGGCACTACACGTCAGAGGCCTATTACAGTCAAGTCTCGTAATAGTGAACCTCACATTTTTTTCAGATTAACTACTTTTTTTTAAATGTCCATTGGTACAACCTGAAAATAATTCTCTACTACTAATTTCAGAATAACCAATCGAATTTTATTGCCTTTATATCTCCACAACACTTGAAGATAAAGAATAGAGATTTTGTAAAATACAATACACTCTCAGTAAACAGAAATCTGTTACACGAAACTACTGCTTAAACAGAACTATTACCTCGGCAATACTTTGTTTCATGCTTGTATTCTGCACCCATGTTCACCTCTCAGTAAACGTAACTACTGTTAAATGAAACATTTTCCTGCTCCCTTCAGGTTCCGTTTACTGAAAGTACTGCAGTTGCAGCTGTGTACACAATGCCTAGCTCCATGTGTGCTAATATCATCATCGGAATGCCCATATATTAAACAAAATATGTGCCTGCTCTATGTGCCTGCTCTATTCATATGTGCAATAGCCCTATCACCATGAACACCGCATGCATTTGTTTTTCACATCAAGCTTCACAGTGCCCTTTGTTTCGTCAGGCAGCTCTGCCTGCACGCTTGTTACATGGCCGTTTTCTTGCCTTTAGATTGGTGGCTGCACATTCACAATGAGCTCCAAAAATGCGACGCGAGTGACCTATGGGATGCAATCACTGAAAGTTACCGATGCATGCTTCACTAAAGCTAGAACACTATGCAAAGTGCAACGACAAAGTGTGCACGTCTGCTTAGCTGACAACTGATAAGGTCCATATCATTTGTAGAGATAGGAAAACTCGAGGCGGACTAGAGAATCTGTAGCTCTGCAAAGAATCTGTATCTAATGCCAATGCTTCAAAGTGCATAGGAAGCATGTGCACTCTTGGAGCTTGTCTTGCAGCTGTCGAGCTGCATCCATGAGGCAAAGATTGCGTCCTTGCTCAAATAAACGTGCATTTGTAGCATAATATTTCGCATTTGTTTTTTTGGTGCTTATCAGAGCACAACGCTATTAGAGCCTCATGTATGTATGCCCAGCACAGATAAAAGAATCATTTCCTTGCATTTAAAACTTTTTCCCAAATTTTCAATATTTTCACCACAATAACTTTTTGAAAATAACGATAACTTTCAGAAATAAACAATTTTTTGCGCTCCCTAGAGATCTGTTGTATCGAGATTTTACTGTAGTGTGAAATCTCACCGGGCAGGTTGGTGATGCCCAGCGTCCTTTTGTCGAGCGTAGTGATAGTTTTCTGGAAGCCACACAGTGCCTCAGTCAGTGTTAAGTCGATACGCATCATCAAGTCGGTGCGGTTGCGCTTGAACACTTCATGCTCCTTCTCGTCAAGAACCACGATGATGTCTCCCGGCTCCAGGCCAGGCTCCTGGTCACCCTCACCACTGAAGGTAATCTTCTGACCATCTTCCATGCCTGACAAAACAAGATCTTCAGGTCAACAACTCTCTTCACAGCAAGGAGTAGAGCGACACTGCAAGTGTTGACTTCTGGCCTCATACATAAAGGCCAGAGTTCTCCCTTTTCAAAATTACATGACGAATTTTTACGATAATACTACTCTAAAAATTTAAAAATGGGGTATTTGGGGAATGTTTCTGCTACACAAGAATAACGGTCATCTACTTCGAGCACTTTCCTCGCATTATCACCACGATTCCTGTAGTTCGTGGTCACGAATGGCGCGAAAGGAAACGCAAGCAAGACAGACGACAATTATTGTTGTGTAGCAGAACTACTCTCTCAATACTCCATTTTTTTCTTAGAGTGTATAGTGACTGCTCACAGGCAGGGCCGTCTGATTGCGTGATCAACCAAACATCAGACTCCAGTGTGCCGTACCTTAAGAATGGACATGGCATAAAAAAAAAAAAATTCTTAACTGCTAGCACCATACATGAACGGCAATGCTTGTACATTAAAAACGCATGCTTTTTCTAATCATTCCTCTTGCTTGGCATGTGCTGTCACACTTCGGGGATACATGAAATTTTTTTCATGCACCTTCCTTTTCTTTTGCTGAAAGAGGTGACCTGGCAACTGCTTGTGCACTCAAGTTGTTCGCAGTTCAGCTGGTTTGAAATACACGCCTTTTTTGATCACTTTTCTTGTTTAGCATGCGCTGTCCTGCTACAAGAAACCATGAAGTTTTTTCCCTGTGTTGATGTCTCTCTGTTGTTGCTTTTTTTTTAATGCTTTACAAAACGGCACACTGGATATCACTTGCGCATTCGAACATGCCTGCGATGTGGCTGGTTTAAAATTCGCACCTGATCGATCATTTCTTTTGCTTAGATTGTGCTGCCATGCTTCGGAAAGACATGACATTTTCTTTAGGCACCAGTATCTCTGGTTTTATCTGTTTTAATTTGTTTTGTTTTTTGCTTTCCAAACAGCCACGTTGACTTTCACTTGTACATACCAAGGTGCGCGCAGTGCAACCGGTTTCGGTTTTGTCCTTTGCATCTGCAAAGCTGATTGCTGTCTGGATTCTAATCTTTTTAAAGAATGACCGCTTGCAACTCTTGTTTATTGCTCCCAAGAACGTGATTACACAAGTTTCCGTGCGGGGCTAAATTACACAAATGAAGCCGCCATGGTCGAGTTTCCAGTTTTGGGGAACTCTGAAAAACTGTCTCGTAGGCCATAAGACGCATTAAATATAGCCTTTTTACTCTCACTCGTTTTGCTGCCCCGACAAGCGCACTACCATAGAGATTTCTTTCATGCAGTCACTCGCGCAATTCGCTAATGCTATGGAAGAGCACACCAGTTGCTCTGCTGCTAGTGAGTCGAGCGGAGATTCTTTCGATGCAGACTATTCTCCGAGGACCCAGAGAACACACCAAGTCTGTGCACGGAAACTTTGCAAAGAAATCACTCTGTGTCGATCCATTCTTCAGATTATCCCATGTTTTTACCAGGAAAATACTATGGTGTGCTTATTTGTGTATGTATGCGAGCTATGCTTATTATATCGCATAATTTTATTTATAAACATTGTAAAAGTGTTTTTGTTTCAAATTTTGCTTGATGTTACTGGGAATAAACAAACCGTGGGTATGTAACGAAATTAAACAAAATGATTTTTTCGACGCTTTACGGTCATGAAAAAAATTAGACAATTTGTATTCCAATGGTCTGAAGAATTCATTTCAGTAATAAAAATTTACTAACTTTTGGCATGCACCCCTCCCCTCCACTCAAAAAAAATATCGACCGTGAAAAGGTTAATCAATTTGGACGAAACTGTGCGAGTTTAAGGATATATGCGTTCCCATTTCAAGTGTGAAATTATTTTTTTAGCATAAAATGTAGTTTTTAAAACAAAATATTTTACATAATTATTTAGAAGCAATTTCTTTTTATACTGAGAGAAAGTAAATGAGCGCATCACAATAACCTTGAATCTGAACTGTGTGCAGTCCGCGCTCCTTGCGATCACTTGCAGTTGCCTGGGTAGTTGTGGGTGCAATTCGAGAAGCTTGTACATCGAGTTTCTGTACATCTCAGTAATGTCTTTAGAGCTCATCATGAGAGGCAACAGCTCGACTGGCTCATTCCGGAGGCTTTTGCTTGAAGAGATAGGCCGAGGCCTCAAGAGAGAGATCACCCCCCTCCCCTCTGCAGAATCTTCCATATGCCAACTTCGAATCTGCGACCATGGCACTCTGTTATGGGTGCGTGGGCCACAGCTGCTTCATCTGCAACTGGCTACGTCTATTGTCCTCGGCAAAACACGACGATCAGCTTGTAGATCGGCGTGGCTGTCGCCATAGCTCGATCAGTTGAGTTTACCATAACCACCACTTTTGCTCTAATGGGTTTACAACATACATTTTTGTTGCACTGCACACAATTCTGATTCCAGATTAATGTGATATGCTCATCTACTCTTTCTCTGCTTAGGACAAAACAAAAATGTGCTCCACATAAGGCACATAAATATTTTCTATTTTATAGTACAAAAATAACTGCACACATACTTGAAATCACCACACAATTATACATAACCTCACTTAGTTTCATCGAAACCCATCAATGTTTATTCCTTTATAAGAGTAAAAAAGAAGTACTCCTTCCTGAGGAGTTCCTACCTTTACAGACTACACAGTGCTGCTCAAGAGTGTAGAGCCATTTGCGTTAGCATTCCAGAAGAAACTTGTACAAGCAGGCGAAAGCTCACCCTTGTCGATGTGGACCTCGAGGATTTTCCGCTCGCGCACCACCTTTTTGGCATTGCAGTTCTTGCAGCGGTCCTTGGGGTTGATGCGCTCCCCTTCGCCCATGCACTCCTGGCAGGTGGTCTGGATGTGCTGCACCATACCAGGCACCACCTGCTGGATGCGCACATTCATGCCCGAGCCGCGGCAGCTGGGGCAGCGCTCCACTGCACCCTTGCGGCCACCACGACCTGCACAAGTTCATCACTGCCCGCTCAGCAACTGCAGCTCAACTGTTTCAAGAACAAACGGCAATGCCATTGTCTCATCACAAGTATCACAGGGAATGATGAACTCCAGCCATGTGAGCATCACAGCGAACGACGCCGCCATGACATCCACATTTCTTTCAATTTTATATTGCGAATGCAACTTAAAGTGGCAACAGCAGTAGCAAAGCTTAGCAGCTTATCATTAAGTTATTATTTTTCACTGCATATTCAAAGCAGTAAGCCTATCAACAATATCTGCACTGAGCCATCGACCAAAGTAGGCTGCTGTTTATCCACCGCATTCCATGTTGCCAAAATCTCTTGGAGACTCATCCATTCCTAGTTCAACAGGAAATATTTTGCCCTTCATGATATTTCCAAAACGTCTAACTTTTGCAAACGGTATGCAGCGAGGCGCTGTTTTGCTCATGTGCCCCTAACCTTTCATTCTTGTTTTTATGCATTACTTGGATCTAAGTGCTGCGTTGACAACAGCGTACATGAATGTTTTTTCTCTGGCAGAAAAAAAAAAACATTTTTCTTTCATTCAAGCTGGTTGAAGAGTGCACATGCGTGAGCGTTAACGCACCGAAACGCTGTAACAAACAGCTGGTCCACTATGACCACGACCATCTATATACGGTAATTTTCACATAATGAGAAACGAGCATACCTGGCTGAGATCAATATTGATGTCATATGAGACAGTGCTCCATGAACTTGCACCCTTTATCGACAACAATATTAACAAGGCTTAGTATGACGACAAACTTTGTGTAAGAATTTTAGCCCATCACCGCAGCCACCAATTTCACAGCCTGAACAAGTGGTCGTCAAGTTGAACGACCAGGCAAGCACATACAAAAATCTGTTGTGCTTTACCCCATAGGAATGGGGATTGTCAGCGACCTTCAAATGCTTCCAAATTGCAACGATCATTGTCCGACAGCTCCAAGGAGCTTGTGCACGTGGCACGGTCGGCAACAGACGCAGTGCAGCATGACCGGCGTATTCATTTACCTGCCAAGCATCTGCTCTTTGGGCTTTCGCAGTTTTTGTGCACTGCGCTGGCAGGAATGGCATGGTTGGCGCGAATTCCGATTTTCGCCAACTTGCACATCACACAAAAGCACCATTGCTCGGCTGGGTTTCGGTGTTGCGCTTCAACGTTCATTTAAATTAATATGAAATTCGATAAGTATTAATACTATAAAGTCTGTTGCAAGAGCGCCCGAGAACATAGAACAATCATTACTATTGCATGGTCAAACAATCACCGAAGTCTGCCTTTAGCCCACTAAGGCCCATGCAAGAACTATTTGTTGGATTTCCGAAATTCTAATCAGTGAAATCGGAATGTTGAACTGTGTATTTTCTATTCTGGAAAAATTAAGTGTACCTTGTAATGTACGCTGGGCACTAATGGGTTGATACAGCAATGATGACAAAACCATTAAGACCCACCTTCACACTTGTCACAAATGGTGCAGCGCTGAACCGAGAGCTTCCTGGTGGCTCCATTGTAGAGCTCCTCTAGAGAGACAGCTAGCTGGTGCACAGTGTTCTTGCCACGGTTCTCTCTTCGCCGGCCCATGCCCCCACCAAAGAACATGTCAAACAAGTCCATGGGTGCCGAGAAGCCTCCCCCTCCACTGCCAACACCCTCCTTAATGGCCTGTTCCCCTCCCTGGTCATAGACCCGCCTCTTCTCTGCATTGGAGAGCACTTCATAGGCCTGGGAGATCTGCTTGAACTGTAAACAGGCACACAACACTGTCATTCATAGAGGACTGCATAATGCCACCTAATTCACATGGAACTGCATCAGTGTCTGTGAAGCACAGCACTAAATAAATGTCCTTATTTATATGCAATAACATGAGTTCAATTTTAAATGCTAACACATCACAAAGTGCAGCACCCATAAATGCCTCTCCCATGTTTCTCCTAATTAGCTCAGTAATGTGCTTGATAAAGCCACTCTGTCCCCACAAATTCAATCACACTTAAACAAACTTTATGCCTCCCCTCGCACGCTTGCCTTCTCTTTGAATCCACTCCGTTACCATCAATGACTATCCGTTACCTTGGCGTCTCGCATGGCCTCGACTTCAACAGAGTTGTTTGAACACGCCTTCGTTCCCCGACCGACTTCATCTTCCTGTCACTTACGTTGTACGTATCATTTTCCTTTCCATGGCTCGAAATCAGGCTTAACCTTTTTCGTAAGCGTGCAGGTTTCTGCCCCACAAATAAGAAGCGGCACGATGAGACTGTTACCAACTTATCTCTTGGGGAGTACTGGTAAACTGTCATGATCCGGCACGATTTGACGACGGCGATCAAGCTGCAAACGTGGCATTTTCGAGCTTAAAATCTCCCACACTATTTCGTCGTCGCTTGATACGCAAGTGGTTCGGTAGTCCGCGACGCCATAGGAGAGCACACGTACCCGTTCGCCTTCGGTGGGGTTTTTATCCGGATGGTACTTCAACGCCAGTTTTCGGTACGCCTTCTTGAGTTCGTCTTGCGTACAGTTTGGCTTCACGCCGAGTATGTCGTAGTAGGCGGTTTCCTTGACCATCGTAGTCGAGCTTCCTGCAGCACACAAAAGACTCTCACATAAACCTCGTGGTACTAAATCAAAGGTGACTTCAAAGGAACGCCGGCAACAGACAGCCGACGTAGAACAGCACTACGCATGAGCTGGTCTGTCTGTTCTGAACTACCGTAAAATTTTAATGAACACCAAAATTAGTGGACTAACTAGCCTGCTGACCGCACCAAGTCTGGCGATGCCAACAATTACCACTAGCGAACGCCTGATTTAAGGGACCAACAAGTCGTTTAATAACTACTCCGTGAGGATCTAAGAGTGCTCACCTTATAATTTAGTATACACACTGATGTCCACGGGCAGATCACAAGAGCGTTGCAGCCTATGAAGCGCTACTACGGGAGCAGCAGCTCGCCAAGCAATGAATGACGAATCGGAACGGAAGCAGTCTAGAAAGTTCTAGAGAATCTCCATAGGCCTTGTCTTATATCGCGGTGATGCGCATGCGCTCAAAAACGTCACAGCACCTGATCACGTGCTTAAAGACTTAAGCGGGTAAAAATCTCTGTCTTCGTTATGTGAGTTATTCATCGAGTCAAGACTGGTGATTTCTTAATTTAACTTAACAGAAAGAAATGTTTTTTTTTTTCGGAAAACTATATTCTCACTTTTTGTAGGCGACCTAGCAGGACATGGCATTTCTTCGATCGTGTTGTTGTGGCGCTGCGGTATCGCGGTTAGTACATAGAGAAACATACTATGTAAGTATATTTCTCTATGGCACGGAGGAAAGAAATGTGTTCTATGGTTAGTAGGCCACCCTAGCGGTTAGCTTGAATTGTCGGTTCCGACGACAGCTGTTCAGTCGTGCTGTAGCGGGTTGTGTATTCAAATGCCGCACGAAAACCGTTCGACTGCACCTGCAGGGCCTAGCAGCTTTCGAGCCCTCTACAAGGAAGAATGCAACAAGTTTTACATGTGCACACGTCGCACGCTGTTGTCGAAAATTCCCGCTGACGCCTCTTCGCTTGATCTGTGCGTGGACATAATTCGGGCAGAAGAATGGAAGCCACTCTTGCAGGCCCTCCGTGTGGACAAAACACTCGAGGCCATCGCCTTCAAATCGTCGTTTCTGAGCAACTACCCCGAGCTCATCGGTAGGTCACTCACAAGTTGAACCGTAGGGTTTGTAGAGACAAACATCATCCAGCGTTTTGTAGGAAGCTGGCCTTACTCTAGGGACTAGCGTGCGAAACGTTGGTCAGCAAGATTTTAAGCAAAAGGTTGGACAGACCGTCTTACTTGTAGGAAAAATCGGCGCAGTAATACCGTCAACAGTACCTCTTTCTAGCCAATATCGCCTTTTCATGCAGTGGTCCCTGCGTGTACGTTAAACTTGAAGAAGAAAACCGATTTGGTTATAGCAAGCTAACCTAATTCGACATTTCAGTGTTTGTCATTTGAATGGCAAGTGCCTGCGCAAGAAAAATTACGTATTACAACATAGTGAAAGCAGTCGTTCACTTACTAAAAGCATCAGGCAAGCACAAAGCCTTTGAAGTAAATAACAGAATAGAAACTGTCATAACTTTCGGAGTTGATGAACAGGCATATGGAAGCCAACATGAGAAGGCATAGCATGGATAGAACTGAACATGCTCTGAAGAGCAGCCTAAAGGTGGTGAAGAGGTAGCTGGGCACATGGACAAGACCAGATGTATGCACTGGAAAACAAAAAAGGCAGTGTCACTAACATTGTGTATGAGACAGTTAAAGTAGCTGAGGAAGTTCTACAGAGATTCACACAGTAACCAGGACAACCACGACAATAACGGAACATGTGGTAGTCTAGCCGTATAAGACACCCTCTAGTAAAGACAGGAGGTAAAGAAAGCTTCGGAGGGAGTGCTAAAAGGCAAAGCCATTGGTGATGATCAGGCGACAGCAGATCTGTTGAAAGACAGTGGACAGAACAACTGGCTACCCTGTATACAAAATGTCTCCTGACTGTGAGTCCAGCAGTACCTGGCAGTATTGCTGATGTCATCCTAATCCACAACCAAGGGGACTCCAAGGATTTGAAAAGTTACAGGCCAATCAGCTCACTCTTTGTTTCCTGGAAGCTAGTTGCATTAGGAAATTGCTGCTATAATTAACATCACCTTAGAATTTAGTCAACAAAAGGACCAAGTGGATTTTTGTGCAGTATATCTGAAAATAAACCACATTTACAGTATCAAACAGGCATTGGAAAAGTGCATTGAATCACCAACGCTAATATGTAGCCTTCATAGAAAAAAAAAGGCATTTGGTACGGCCGAAATCTCTGCAGTCTGGCAGGCATTAAATCATCAGAGCATAGACAACTGTAGATAAAACTTCAACAACGCAAAAACTGTGCAAAATTCTGACAAAACACAAGACAAACAATGAACAGCAACAGCATTGCCTTACAACAGATTTTATTTCTCAGCATGTGGACGCAAATATACTCATAGTAAAAAAAAAATGTGAGGAAAAGGGGCTGCACGATAGGTGCCCATATCTCTCATCGACGTGTATCACAGGCATGTTCTGTACATATCAGTTAATAAGAATATTTTTTTGTGGCAGGGTTAGAAACGATATGCTCAGACAGTTATTCCTAATCCTATTTCTGCAGCTTTAATTATTTCTCCAGTCCTGTGTGTATACTCATAATTTGAAGGTTTTGGGTTTGGAACCCATCAATGGCATGAAAGTTTCTTTGTCCACATTAATTCATTTTATTTACGTTATAATTACTACACTGCAGTGAAAGGCAATAAATAACATCCCCCATGCTTTCGTTGGATTTATTCGTTTGCGAAGGACTGCGGAATGATGCAAGCTTATGTTTGAGGCGGCATTGTACAATAGTGTTGCTTTTCATTGCAGCTGATGTTGGCCGCCTACAACTGGTGCAAGATAGCATCCACGTGCCTGCACTGTTCACACCGGAGATGCTCAAGCTGTTCTGCTCTGCCCTCTCCGGACATCTCAAGAACAATACCAGCCTCAGATCATTGGAGCTAGTCGGCTTTCCTTTCTCCCTGGTTCACCTGCAAGAGCTGTCGGCGGTCTGCATGATATGCCACTTCTGCTAAATCATTTATCGATAGCATGGCATGGTCTTCCTGCAGTAGCAATTCTCAGCAGTTGAGCACTCTTATGCTCAAATTAATTTATAACTTAATGAAACCAACAGACAAAGCCAGGTATTTGATACAATATTTATATTCTTCAACTGGACTGTAGTTACTAATGACATAGACGAAAGAACAACCTTGCCTCCGATAGAGACCGAACCTGCAACCTTTGAATGGTGCATCTGATACTCTACCATTTGAGGTACAGCTGTGGCTGTTTTTGAATCCATTTTTTTTTAATGGAAAGACAACTGCTGCCATAACTGAATTCATAGAACATTGGAGAACATCATAGAGCAACAGTGAGAAACGGAGAGCTTTTCTCTTTGTTGGTTCATCTCCTCTCCCATGCGATTGTGCATATATATTCCCACTATCTGAGCAGTCAATTGGTTGTGTGCACTCTTTGTGCACAAAAAAAGGTTTTTCCTTTAAGAATGCAGTTTCATTAAGTAATGGTTTAATACGCTAAGTTGGTCATGCCTACATGTGATATAGTGCTGCTTCTCTTCTGTTGCTTTATGTTACTGCCATGATTGGCTGTTTGGTAGCTGATGAAAAATAATCTTACTTTGCAGCTGCCCTGCGTTACCTGGGCATCATGATCTCTGTCTCTGCAAACATTTCATGAGGGCATATTATTATTGGTTTGGCAGGCATCTGTGGAACTTCAGGCAAGCTGAATGAAGCCTTCAACATTACTGCAAATGCTGTATTTGTGGTAATGTTACAGACATCGTTTAGCTTGCCGGAAGTTTCTGTTGATACGAATGGAAATAGCTTATGAAGTCAATCACTTTTTTTGTCTCTATCTGAGAGATAAAGACCCTGACTAAAGTTTTACTCTGTTTTATTGCCATGTAAATAAATATGCCTCTTTGAGCTCTCTAGTTTTGTACCAGTAGTATTATAGACTTAACAGATACCTATTAATACAAAAAAATATTGCACAAAAAGATTGTATGCTTATAAAATGTGTGGTTATCTTTTCTCGTGTTATCTTTCTAATATTCACATTTGTAGGCACTTACCGAGTTATAGACATCACTCAGTCTTACATCCAATCATTGAACCCTGTTTGTAGAAACTAGTGCAATGCATTTTCTAGTGCTGCTAGTATATGGGCGATTGGCAAAAGGTTTGTGAGTACACATGTGCTTGTTACACTTTGAAAATGAATTTGGCACTTCATAGCATCTACTGGGCCACAAGTATAATCAAGTATCATAGTTATCTCTAAGTCAGGACAAGATGAAACCAACTAATGCTTTTTTGCACAGTTCCTCTTCAGCTGCATGAATTTCGCTGAACATCCTTGTCCCCTGCTTGTGCACAGTTGCACCAGTCAATTCCTCGAGTTGAATATTGTTGATCTTGTGCGGAATAGTCTTGCTTTTTCTGATGTTATGCAGATGTTATGTAAAACATATGCAGTAACCTCACAAAGGTTTGTTGGTAAAATAAAATGTTTTCTATTAATGAATTCTGGATTCTCCTTTGGAAATTCTACTGGCTCTTGGCCTGGTAAGAGAACATCTTTGGGTGGAATAAGGCTCTGCAAATTTTATGCAAAGGGTCGCAGTGCGGTGTGTTAGATAAGTATGGTTGATAAAGCAGACTTCTTTTTCAAGACTTACATCTGCTGTCACTGAGAAGGTTTGCTCTTTTCAGGGCATCCGTGCATCAGCATCCATTGTGGGTGTCACAATTGATGGCAGCTCACTTGGCAAGCAAGGCCTCGAAGGTAAGCATTCTCTTATTGTGCTGCAAGCTCAAGTCTGAATGCTGACCTTTATTATTAAAGGGACACCATAGAAACAGACGATTTTTTCTCGTTCTAGTGCATTGTTCTTTCAGAATTTTAAAATTGCCGCGCTTGCCATGAGAATGCCCTTGGTAAACGAAGATACATGCCAACGGAAAACGAGGCTGTCAATGGTACCTTAAAATTCCCACATAGAGCACTGTGGCATCATTCCTTTGATGGCGTCTGCTAGGTTTACATTGCTCCTAATCAGTAAAATGGAGTACATTGAATTGTCACTGGAGCGGGACATAGACATAACATGCCAACTTTCAGGAAACTTCATTGTACCAATGTGGCCAAAATACGATTTGTGCCAGGCATTAAAGACATGCTCTATTTGCAGCACTGTGCCATGCCCTGTGCGAGAGGGAAAATGTGCGTGTGCTCAGCCTCTGCGACTGTCGACTGGACAGCAGTAACGCTCACTTGATGGCCTGGCTCCTGCAGCAGCAGAGTCTCGGCCGCCAGGGGGCACTGTGGCAGGGAGTGCTGCGCCAGAGTGCACTGGCGCTAGACTCTCTGCAGGGCCTGCGACGACTCAGCCTGTGTCGCAACCCGCTAGGTGATGAGGGTGTCTGCGCCTTGGCCGAAGCTCTTACGGACAACCTCTGCCTGAAGGGTGAGGGCACAGATGCTTGTGGCTTAATCTCATCACCTTTACTCATTCGGAACAAGACAAGCCTGCTGTTACAGTGTGTTGTCATTGTAGAGTGCTTAGAGATTGAAGCGTAGTACTTTGAGCTCCTGGGTGTCGACACTTGCGCCACAGATGAACCCTCGTGAAATCTAGCTGGCACATTGTGTCGTATTGCGAGAGCGTTCGTGATGCAGAGTGATTGCGTTTACTCTGTGCTCACGTGCGCTTGAGTGCAGGTCATCAAAGCCATGACCTACAGCGCTTCGCCAATGCCACCAAGAACTACAGGCTGAATGACTGTCTACGGGACACAGTCACGATACATCACGAACACACTCCGTGTGCCACTATGTGGCAGCTGTCTCACAAGCGCTTACCAGTGGCACAAGTGTCAACAACCACGCACTCGAAGTGTTGTGTTTCAATCGCTAAGCTCTCTACATCGGTAGCACCTACTGAAACAAATGAGGAAATATGTGTTTACTGACAGTATGTAGCATGTTGTTATGACAAAATATTTGTTACCTGTAGAATCTCTACATTATGCCTAAGATTGTGTATGTTGGTTTTGTGTTATATACCAACACCTCTATTGTGTATGGGATATAACAATGAGCAGCTGCTGCACTGAGAACATTTGTGTGTCCTATATAGTGAAATAAACTTCTTGCTACACTGTGTGTGTGCCCCATTGTCGCTTACAACCAAGAAATCTGGGTTTAGAATATCTCCTTTTAAAAAATAGATGCCTAATTTTATTGGCGTTTTCAGTTGGGTTTCTTGGCTTTGCACTGCATCTTTTTTTTCCTTGTCTGTGTCTGCACAGCAATACATGTACAGTGTGGGTTAAAGGTTTGCATGCCACGCTTCCATAGAAATGCATTTGATTGTTGCCTGGGAACTTTTGACCCCCACTCTCTCCCCTCCCCCTTTCCGTACGAATGCTTAAGATGTTGGGGACAAACAACAAATCTAGAGAAAACACAAGCCCCCACCTGTCTGATAAAATACTGACAGCATCAAAAATGGGAGTGGCATTGGCCATGTTGCTGTTATAGAAACAGTGGCTCTGGTAGCCTGCAGAATTTTCAGTTTCTGGTGCTGAGAACGTACTATAGTAACGCCATTTTTGTGCCACCTCAATGTTACTATACGATGGATAGACATAGCTTCGAAGGTTGTGCTGACAAGGAACGTGGTCGTGCATTGTGACAAGAGGTATTGATGTGAGCGAATTGACTACTGCTGGGCCTCCTAAAAGGAAGCGCCTCTTTTCAGCAATAACTGAGCTAAAAGGCAAGTCGGCTGCCTTAACCTTTGTCAGACTCTGTGAGGCCCCTTTGGTTGGTGAGAGCACTGTTAAAACCACCATCTTCCTGAAGGCATCTCTTGAGCCTTGGGAATAAGTGTGCCAGGCTCACATAAGAGCCACATAATAGAATCAAATATGGCGGGCCTACATTTGCAAAGCAACCAGCAGAGTCCTTAACCTATACCCGATGTTATTTCTGTTCATCCATTCATGTTTGTCTTTGTGTAATGTCTGTCTTTGAGTTGAGCCACTGCAGCAGTGTGATTGTTTTGTGACAGCGCTTGACCTTCAGAGCTGCAATGCTGGCAATGCTGGTGCGTCTGCCTTGCTCAAGCTGCTGCAAAACAATGTCGTACTGGAGGTGGTCGACATAAGACAAAACCCAAACATAGGTGAGCACCAGCTTGTATTCACTGTCCTGTTTCTACTTAAACTTTTAACCTCACAGGTTTAGAAAAATTATGCCACCTGGCAGAACCTGAGAGGCTTGCATTCTTTAAAGCAATGAAATAACAAAATTTACAAAAATACTTTATTATATCAGTGTATGGCCTTGAAGAAATTTTTTTTACACATATGATGCCACAGAAAATGTCTGAATAACAGCTCTATCAAAAAGAGTGCTTAACAGCGCGAACGACAGGAGGGGATAGAAGAGACGAGATAGAGCACTGAACGACAACATGAGGCTGGAGCGAAGAAGTCAGGAAAGGGCCCGTTGTATTAAAAATGAAACTTAAGAGACAGTAGGATTGGGCATGTTGGTATACTTCAGTGAAATAAAACTGACTTGTTTGCCATCAGAGCCAGTAGTAACTTGATTGCAGCGGTAATGTGATTTCACCTGTGACACACTTAAAGACAGGATACCTGCTCCGTCCTGCTACATTTCGGTAGAAGTCCCGTAATTTGTATACATTTTATTTGTAGTGGTCATTAGTAGATTTTGAATCGAATTCGAATAGTATGTGTCACACATTATAAAGAAAAATTAGCATATCTGTCATGACCTAACTAATCTGCTCAATATATATACAATTTTTCAACGATTGAGACAAGGTGTGTGTGAATGTCATTTTCTTTTATTCAAAGGAATTGTAAACAAGTTAAATAGTAGCAGGATTTGACTTTTGATGGAATGGAAGTGATAACCTGTAAAATCTGTTAGTTTTCAAATTGCCACATTTAGACCCAAAGAGGTTCAGAATGCTCGGTGATTATAGGGCAGATGTTTGAGCATTTGCCAAAGGAGTCATCTCCGGACAGGGCTGGGAAATTCTTGATGGAAAGTTGGTCAAACCTCACATGCTTGTATGGGAGAAATGAACAGTGCTACTGCAAACTCGATGAATCTGCCCATAGTGCTGCGCAAGGACTTGACAGCAGTGTAACGACAATGCAAGGTTGGATGGACCTCTTGTACAATGAGCTAACCAAGCACTTTTGCTAGGATGCAAGGCCTCCTCCTGTAAACGAAATAACGCTTCGGTTATTATGCTCAGGCTTACGATAAAAAACCCATCTGAACTTGCTACTGGTGAACCAGTCTTATCCGTAGTTCTTTCCAAATAGATCTTGTTCAGGTTCTGGATCTGTCTGGGATCTCAATCCACACCCTTCAAATTTAACTCAGCTTCTGACCTGCAAGGCGTGAGATAGAATTCCGAACCGCGGCGGCCGCATTTTCGATGAAAGCGAAAAGTGCTTGAGGCCTGTGTGCTTAAATATGAATGCACGTTAAAGAACCCCATGTTTTCTTTACGGGGTCCTTGAAGCACACAAGTCGTTAAGGAAGGATACTTTACTAAACTCTTAAGGAATGCACAAGCCACACAGGCAGAACAGCACGGGCGTCTGTGCTTCCACGTTGTCGTCTTCCTTCATTGTTCACAACAGGACACGTGAATAATGTGGTCCCGCTAGCAATTTCCCAACACCGACGTGGTCAAAATTTCCAGAGCCCTCTACTACAGCATCTGTCATAATCGTATGGTGTTTTTAGTATGTTAAACCCTAAAATTTATTAAAATTTTTGTACTTAGATCTTGCCAACAAAAAGGGTGCCCTTTCATTCACTTTGATTTTTTTTTTTTTCAATTTATGTCGTAATTATTGCCCTGCTGTTGGAAATAAAAAATAATGTCTCCTACACTTCCTTTGGCTTAGAAGAGTATCGACACAAGATTTTTGAAGTGATATAACTTGTGGGATATTGCTTATATGCACTTGGCTGCGGGTACCAAATACATTTCGCAAAGAAAATGGTTGATGTAAAGAAAAGAAAGCCAAAGGCAGACTACCAACTGTCTATTGGCACTACCAGACACATTCAGGGAAAAATAAAGACTTTCTCCCCATGTGTGAAGAACCAACGTATGACATGGAATGGCATGACAAAATAACATGTTATCTAGAAAGTGCATTTCTGAGTAATACAAAGAGTTCTAAGAGTCTCATTAGACTGTCGGTAAGCAGCGCTTCACTTTTTTCTCTTCTCTTTCATCCCGTTTTCGCAAAATTTATTTTGTGCCACTAACAAGTGTTGTCTAAACAATCTAAGCGATGAATTCCCTGACAAGAAGTTCTTGTGGGGTATGTTAACAAGGACCCGCATGCATCATTTATGAAATATCAATGAATATAGGCTAGAACATAACTAAAAGCAATTTTAAAGTGGGTGTAGCACCAATGCATGTGCACAGCTAACCGCCACCTGCATGATGAGTTTGTATCGGCTGCCAGAATACCTGCTGAGCGCTCTCTCTTGGCAAACCTTTTCTATGGAATGAGGGGACAGACTTGCACTGGAGCGCAGGACATGTCCTTGCCTCGGCAGAGAATTTCGTCAGCATACGCTGCATTTCTCAGCAAATGTCGCAGTTTGAAACAAAACATTTCTGATATCTCGTACACGGGCCATTTATGAAGGAGATTCGGTGCCAGGATTACAACAAGACGTCAGAGACCCGTCCCCAAAATGACTACAATTCGGAGGTCGATTCTAAACTTCATTTCTTGCTTCACTGTTACGTTTCACGATATGGCGACTACATGGGGTACTTCCCGAAGACAATGCTTTAGGCCAGTCATGCCTGTGTAGCTCATAAACATGCTTATGAAAAAAATTAGAAATTGCCCCCTGAGGACAGTCATGTGCGGGCCAGAAGCGAGAGGCTCACGGGTCACAGTATTGGAATCTCTGGCAGATCGCAAGGCATGGCATGTGGAAGCAGTCACAGAGAATGTATTCGGGACGAACAGGATGACCTCGTCATTATCTACCATGCCAGCAATCTCAATCAACAGATGCAAAGACATAACTATGCAACTCGAGATAAACTTGTTTAGCGCAATCTCTCTCAACTGCTCAATTCTGTGATGACACTCCTCAAGATGCAGATGTACAGCAGACCAAATCTTTAATTATCATGCGCAGCTGCGACTCTTCTGTCGGTCAGCGCCCTATAATGAAACTAAGTTGCAAAAAATTGTCTTGCGGGCATGTGCTCTGTGGGAATGCCTCACCCTTCTGGAACTCAATTCAGTCGTATGGCAAAGATACGCATGAAGAACTGCTGCTTGTGCATACTTAAAAATGTTGGTGACTGTGTGTTGCATGTTTGCTTGCTTTCACAGACGCTGAGCTAGCCAAAGACATTGCGGCCAAGGTGTTTTCAAATCGACATGGAAGACGGTGTGAGGTGACCTCTTTATGATATATGTCTGTTATACTGAATGTCGTGTGCTAGGCTTGTGCAAATAGTGGAGCACTTTGAATATTTTAATGAATATTAAGGTATTCTTATTAACTTTGATTTGACTTTAATTATTGGCAAATTTGAAGTATTCGACTACGAACAAATAATATATTGATCTGCATGTAGCCTCCTGAATTGGTGGCTTCACTGCACTGGAGTTACTGCTCAACTGTGAAGACATTTAAAAAAAAATCCACGTTGTCGCAAAGTTCCACTTCAGGGTTAAATGAACATAGGTTTGAAGCAAATAGTGATCTGGTCGCTTAATATTGAATCGAATTCTAATAGTATGTGTCACACATTATAAAGAAAAATGAGCATATCTGTGATGACCTAACTAATCTGCTCAATATATATACAATTTTTCAACAATTGAGACAAGGTGTGTGTGAATGTCATTTTCTTTTATTCAAAGGAATTGTAAACAAGGTAAATAGTAGCAGGATTTGACTTTTGATGGAATGGAAGTGATAACCTGTAAAATCTGTTAGTTTTCAAATTTGCTTTGCTCAGAGTATGCAAGCCAGAATAACAAGCTTTTCAACTTAAAAAATGATGAATAGATGTGAGGGTAATACACTCATTTAACAGTAGGGCAGTGCTTTGTAGGGCGGTGCTTTGTGGCAGTGCTTTGTAGGGCAGTGCTTTGTGTGTATGCATGTGTGTGTGAGTGCATGCATGTGTGTGTGTGTGATAATGATAAATGTTATTGTTTAATGGTTTAATGTCCCGAATCTCAAGGGCTCTGAAGATTTCTACCACCTTAGGTTCTTTAACATGCATCTAAATTTGAGCACACGAACCTCAAGCATTTTTGCTTCCATCGAAAATGCGACCCGGGGGAGGCCCTGTTGCGATGGTCTAGTGGCCAAGGTACTCGGCTGCTGACCCGCAGGTCGCGGGATCGAATCCCGGCTGCGGCGGCTGCATTTCCGATGGAGGCGGAAATGTTGTAGGCCCGTGCGCTCAGATTTGGGTGCACGTTAAAGAACCCCAGGTGGTCGCAATTCCTGCAGCCCTCCACTATGGCGTCTCTCATAATCATATGGTGGTTTTGGGACGTTAAACCCCACACATTAATCAATCAAGCGACCTGAGGGATGGGAAGGGCTGTGTGTGTGTTCTCGGTATATCGCCCCTTCACTGCTGTGCCGTCACGTTTACAGGGAGGTTACATTTCTAATACTTCCACATTACAATAAATTAAAGTTAAATTAAAGCAAATTCAAATACTCTAATGCTTTGAATGTAAATATTCGACAGAAGTCTGTCTAGTTGGGTATGAAACTGGGAGATGATTTAGACTCCAACCAAAAGTTGTCTGAACATTTGAAGTGCTTGAATATTCACACAAGCCTAGAGTTAAATGGCGTGTGGAGCTACTTGTTGTATTTTATGTCCGAACTCGTTGAAACTAAACAGACTTGTTTAGTTTTTCATGCTGATTTCAAATATGCGATCATTTTTCTTGTATGCACACTAGTTTATGAGATACACAGAACTGCCTTTCTATTGTTTCCTGAGACAATAGGAAAAAAACTGCTCCACAGAAACTGTACACTATGTTATAGATGGATACTACAATATTCAATAAATGCAATGCTGCAAACAGTTTTCAGATCAAATCATAACTAGTCAGTCTGCAGATGATTGAAAGGCGATGTTTGTACGATGACTACCACAAATAAAAATCCAAATCTAAATTGTAAAACTTGTAATTGGAGACTGTGAAAATTCTGCTCTTAGGATATGGTGATATACAACTTGGGCTTTAGAATAAACAAGTAATCACAGCTCGCGCTGTTAGGATCATAAAATATCTCTCCAATAAGCTAAATATATCAACCAAAAAGATTTAGCATTCAGCTTGCACCTGTTGCACAGATATAAACTGCGGATGAAATACTGACTTTATCGAACTTGGCAGTCCATACATGCAAAAGGATAGCTGTCGATCTCTACAATTTAATATAAAAATCACTTTTTTTTCTTGGTTTTCGGGTCTCTGTAAGCCATGTCCCCGCTCAATCCTTTACTGTCCATTGTTGGCCCCTGCCAGGCAGCAAAACACGGTTCCTGCTTGGGCACTGCAAGACAATTTCTATTGCAGATGACTCACATGCATGTTTTTTTCACCACGTTATGCGCTGTCAGCAGGGTAGTAAGTGAACTTAAGTTTACTTCAGCTTTGCTTTCTTCACTATTCTACCAGAACGGACAAATAGACAAGGTTTTGGGCTGCAAAGGGTTAAAACATATTCTAAACATTGCTGTGCCCAGCACTTTGGCAGAGTGTCCTTGCATGCAGAAGAAGCTTACAACTGGTTTTCTGTAGCCTCGAAATTTGGTGTCTAAACCTTTTTTAATTGATTTTATTTTATTTCTTATTTAAACTGTTTATTTGTGCATTTTTACTACCTGTACTACACTTGAAAGATATCGTAACAAACTTTACATTTACAAAAGGATATTTGTGAGGATGACATACGTGTTTCAGTCATGAAGCCACTTTCTAATTGTCTTGAGAAGTCATTTATGGCCCTTTAAACGAGCATTATAAACCTATGAAAAATACCTGTGCCATGTTTCATGCTTTGGAGAAGTTTATGCTTGTTTAGCTCATACGTAGGTTGTGTATGCGTGCAGTACGAAGTCCTCCCTCTGGGCAAATGCCAGCCGCTGCCGCCTTGTCACCAGAGAAGCAGGTCAACTGGTAGATCGCAAGAGGCAAGTGAATGCATAAGATTGTAACAGCTTGTTTTCAAAGGTACGAGCAGTTGACTTTGCTGTTGATCCAACAAGGGCAGGCAAAACCTGAAGAGATGTGAACAGAGTGACTACATCTTGGGAGGTTGCGGCATCCGAAAAAAATGCCAGAGTCATCCTTGATTCTCTCATGCACGACCATAGTGCCTTTTCATAACAGCCAGTTTAGCAGCTCTTCAAAATAAATCTAAACAACGGAGCGCTTAGGTGCTGCACTGTTTGCAGTTCCTTTTGTCACAGTGGTACTATGACAAAACATTGCGGGGTTGTCTTGCCATGCCGCAGCATGAACCCCCCCCCCCCCCCACACACACACACACAGCATATTTTTTTTTTTTGTATAAAGACACTGCGGTAATTTGTAGCAGAATCAAGCACAACTCTAGCTTCTTTCTATTTCTATCTAGGCAATAGAGCCATGAAAGCAAATGCAAGCACTAACGCACCCATCGTGGTGGTCTAGTGGTTATGTGGTTTCACCGCGTCAGAAACGAGACCACCTCCCCCACGGCTCGATCACCAAAAACCACCTTTATATAGCAACGGGTAGCCCTGGCTACGGTGCCATGCACTGTGCTAGTCTGTATCACTGCGCCACTCCTTTCTCATTGGCCGCCAATAAGAGGTTTCCGGTCACTTTGTGGGATAAATCTCGGGCTTCACCTAGCATATTAAGGTTACGATGCGACGCGGGCCTGGGCATTCACAGGCCAGACGCTGGTGTACCGCATAGTGTAGCCGTATACTGTGACGTATACTGTGACATGCATCATAGCACCGTCTGCTGAAGAGGTGGCGAAATTCGCACCGCAAAGCTCTCTTCGCTGATTGTCCGGATGCCTTGTTTTGTTCATGTCTGACTGCTTGTATAATGGTTCCGGCTTATGGCTCAAGGTCACTCAAAGGTCTCCGCCATCGAGCTCTAAACAAAAGTACTTCATTCCTAATTAAAAAGTTATAAAAAAAGACGGGAAGACTCTACCAATTGAATGCTTTCCTGCTGTGAAAAGGGTGAATGCTTGCTTCTTGTTGTGTGCACTGTTCAATCAAATGCAGAACAGAAGGGATCACATGCAGTGTAGTGGAATAGTGCTATACATTACATCTGTAACAAGATCGGTATTTTTTGCCTGCCTTGCTCAGAGGAGGGGTGCACGAGGGAAGCAGCGCTCATCCTCTCTGGGAAGAACTATCACCGTACCACTCACGGCAGAGTTTGAAACTGCATCACCCCACTATCATCCAACTAAACGGGTTGAGGTGAGTTCCAATCCTCAATATAACAAACAATGTAGAATGTATTGCTTACCAACCATCTTGTGGAAGGGGCTGCAACAGATGTCCGAACAATTGGGCAGTCTAAGAAATTCTTTCTTTGAAATGTCGGTGTTGTTAGATTTCCCTGTCAGTGACTAAGTATTTGGCCCACATCTCTACCTCTGTGGTAGACCAGGTAGAAAAAAGAAAAATCAGCTGATTCCACGGCACGAAAACAGTTGGACAGGGAAGGTGTAATGAAAATGATGATGGTTACTTTTGGTGCAAAAGTAATCATCATCATTTAGTTTCATTTATTCACTCCTGACTCTGTTGACATGACCTGTGTGGCGACTACTATGATGAGGGTGGTGACGGCAAAAGGTAGACTATAAGACAGCTTCATTCCAAAGAATGCGGGTGTAGGATTATTTGTGTAAGCAAAACGGGTTCAGGAAGTCGGTGCGTTGCTGATTGCCGTGTTGCTGACCATCGTATCAATGACCTCGTTCCTTCTCACCGATATTAGAAACTATCCTATCCTAGTTTTAACACTCGCATGATATTGTTAAAAGATTGGAAGAGTGTACAAGTGATATGAATGATTACTGTATGGCTAACTTCGCAAAGAAGGATTATGCTGTGAATTGTCTGCAAAGCTGAAATACAGTAGACTTTCGGTAAATGGAACCTAAAGGTACCGGAAAATGCTGTTTCATTTAACAGGAGTTCCGTTTACTGAGAGATGAATCTGGGTGCAGAATACAAGCATGAAACCAAGCATTGCAGAGGCTGATAGTTTCATTTAAGCAGTAGTTCCGTTCACAGATTTCCATTTACTGAAAGTCTACTGTATAATAGCTGAAAACGTAACCTCTACTTATAGAGTTCGTAAGATTTGTATCTTGTGTAAGACCAGCACAAAAATGAGGAAAGGTTTTTATGAAAATGTTCTGTTGACGACCCATAATCCAGATTTTGGGGGTTGCTAAAGTCAAGTTTGTGTGTCCAGCATAATGTCAGCATTCATATGGATTTTTGAGAAAAATGTTATGTAACGAACCTGTACCTCAGCTCTGCCTTGTGTAGTGTAACCATATATGTCTGGTCTGATTGTTACACCTTATGCTCATTTCTGTGCAATCCAAGGAGGACCTGCGTCAATGCGAAGAAAACTTGCGAAAAGAGAGGGAAAGCCAGACAGATATTGGAAAGAAAGCTTCTTGAGGTGAGGTTTGGTTTGTTTCTTTTCTCTTTTTTTTACATATGATATATTTGAAAGGTTTCCATTATCATTATCATGCTTCTAGAGATCCAAAAAAGTTCCTTTTGCAGCTTTTTGAGGAAAACCGACAGCTACGCTCTAAGCAGTGCAAGGGTTGCCAGCAGCCTGGATATACACTAGTTGCGAATTCACTGCTGAACAACATAGAATCAGCTTTTATCAAGTTCAAAGTCTACATCACTGCTCTCAAACGCACAGAAAATAGGTGAGCTTGTCTCCGGAGTGCATGCTATGCATTTTGCCAAAGGAGCTAAACCTTCATTATCTCTTGTAGTCTTCCAAGGAATCCCGTTGAGACAGTGGCTGCTAAACAAGATGTGCAAGTGCCTGGACAAGTCCTGCGAGGAGAAAGGAGTGTTCATTCTTCCACAAAAGAAAGCACAGCTAATCCAAGCGTACTCAGTGACCCAATGCACAGTCTTGCACCAACGAAAAATCCAGTGACACTGAAGCCACTCGAGTATACTGAAGAGTTTGTTCAAAGCAAAGCCAAACAGATCATCTCAGAAAGAAGTGGCACTGCTGACCTCACCTCTTCAACCGCTCGGAACAAGCAAGCATACAGGAAGCATACAACCAGCTCAGTCAAGCCAGGAGGAAGTCAGTCAGCCTAGAAGCAAGCTCAGTAACACTTCAGATATGGAGACATCTAAGCGGCTGTCAGAGCTGCTTGGCATTGATCAAATTCCATCTAAATTGATGCCTAGTACAGTGGGATCACCCGATTTCTTTCCGATGGAGACACTTGATGGTGACGCTGGCTCATGGAAGTATGATCTTAATGCTTCAGCAGGCTTTGTCAGAAGGTGGAGAAAAACTTCGTGCCACCTCGCAAAAGCCAAACAGCACAGAGTCAACATTCACAAACTATTCACATGACAGCACTCTGGTGTCTTCTATACCGGAGAAAGTAGTGTCCACCAGCTCTGCAGCGGCTAGCTATAAACAGACACCGGCTGCTGTTGTGAGCTGCAGCAGATCATCATAGCCAGAAGTCAGGACACAGTATCACTTTCATCTATGCCAAGCAGGTCTTTTGAAATCCATACAGCTGACATCACAGTAAGCAGCATCCACAGCTCCACAAAGCCTAGGACAGGGTCAAAGATCTCGCTGCGACACTCGCAGCAGCGACACAGCACGCCTACACTTAGCTACAGCAGATCTCAGGGTGCCATTGAAGGGATCTCTACACCATCCAATGTTAGCTTGTCCCAAAACCAATCAGAGGTGTCAACACCTTCTACTCCAGACACTGCAACACCACCACAGTTGGCAGGAAGTGATTTTGATGGGTTCTAACACTGGAGAAAACAATAGTGCTGAGTTTAAGCAATGGTGTATCCAAGTTAACCTAAGGCTACTCTGTTTGTAGAACAATGTAGAAACATAGACAAGAAAGATTCACAAAAACTGCTGTGTGCCTTCCTTTGTCGTCTGTATTGGTGTTTTTAGGTTGATCTAGCAGCATCATAACTAATGGCAAGCATGCTTCACCAATTACATATCTTGTTGAATAGCATTGCTTTACCGTCATGTAGACAGGTTTGTTGGGCTGCAAAAGTAACTGCACAGAATTACGAAATTGGAGCTTAGCCTCAAATCTCTGGCAACCTTGAACAGGTCCCCAAATTATTGTTGATGAGGAAAAGCACAGCTGAGAAATGCTACCTAATATTCTCCTGTGAAAAAAAGGGGGCTTTTCTGGCACTATTATGTGGGATGATTTGATAGTGGTATCTATTTGCATACACGAATTCAAGAACTCTGTCATAGATCGATTGAATTTCTACACATTTAGTAGTCTTTCGTAACGGCCAGCACATTGAACATGCCTGATTTTACCTGTGACATTTGTGTCTACATTGAATTATTAGCACTAAAAGATAGTTTCCAAGATTATGAATTATGTACAATACCTTGCATTCACCATTGTGCACCTCAGTTATAACTTGTGCTTATGTTTGTACAGTTGTGCACTTGCTTTATTTTCACTCACAAGGTTCGGCTTCCATCAGTTATGTTTGTTTTTCAACTACATTCTTTGTGGACACCTTGATGTCAGCCTTATGAAATTGGCAGGTTGTCATCAAATCCTGCCTGAATAAATGCAAGACTCGTAGGTCACAGAATCGAATCCCAGGTCTGGTGGCCGCATTTTCAATAGAGGCGAAAATGCTTGAGGCCCGTGTTCTTTGAAGACCCCCCAGGCAGTCGAAACTTCCGGAGCCCTCTACTACATCGTCTCTCATAATCATGTGGTGGTTTTGGGACAATTATTGTTATAATGAATAAATGCAAGTGCATGGGTCTCTTATGCTTTTGCTGAACACCATCAGGTAAGTCAATGAAGGAGCGCGGACTGGAAAGAGGTGCTGAAAATAATGCTTGAAAATAATCTGCAGGTTTGAACTTATTTGATTATGATACTTATACTATTCAATGCTTTCAAAAACTAAAGGGGCATTTCATTAAGTTTAACGCTGTGATATCCCGGTTGCGTGGCCATCAAGGGGAGAGAAAAAGTAACAGTTACAAATCGGAATCGGAAGTAAGGCCAGCAGCTATTGCCTTTAACAAACTCAACAACAAAACAGGTGTCGTAAGAAAAGGCTGCAGCGAGCAAAACTTCTTTCATGAACTGAAACAGCAGGGAGAACTCTGCAGGTACAGTTAAGTGGAAGTAATCTAAACCCATGGAAGCACGCACCAAACTGTTGACCTTTTCAGTGAAATGGGAGGCACTACCTTCCTGGACTGTGGCGCGAGAATGCACAAAGGTTGACATATGCCGATGGCACTGCTTCAGCAGTGCATTTTTGGGGTCGCACATATTTAGATTGTGTCATTAAAAGAGTAAACACGATGGGGGTGCTGCCCGCTTAGCTCGGGTGTTGAAAAGTGTGCACACGAGTTTTGTCGTAAAAGTATTTCTTTTGCCTGTGAATACCTGTCTGAGCGGCCTCGTTTTTGTATCGTGTGTTTGTGTCTTCGCCCCGAGAGCATTTTGTTTGTCCCACCCTTTATCTGGTGGAGCTAGGGGTGTAGTGCCATGTTGTTTGTTGCATTCTATTGGCAGTGTCGATGGAATTAGCTATTGGCAGTGTCGATAAATTAGCAAAATGTGAGCATGTTCGCATGGGTGCGTTCAGGGTTGCCCATTGAAGGGCCAAGATTCATCCCACCAGTGCCCCCCCTCTTACTAAGTCAATGTATGGAGCAAACCTTGCCCCCCCCCTCCCTTTTGAGGGGAAAAGGGGGGATACACCTCCTAGAGTACACGCCTATGCATGTGAGCATGGAAACATAAAATTGCATGTAGGGATTTTTCTTTATTTGTATACTTAATTTACTGGCCTGAAGAAACCTGGGACCTCGTGTCCCCGTCACTGCCGTTCTAGCTGTATTAATCTATCTTACAGTCTACGCAATCCGTAATTGAAAAAAAAAAAGGTTAACACTATCGTTGTGTATAACAGCAAAGCTGCTTATCTTCGGTGTTTGCTAGGCCTTTTCTTGGCATAGCCAAAGTAGAGTCGAACCACAGTTTGTAACATACAATGAATGCAAGAATGTCCAGCGCAGTGCCCATGTGCGCGCCCACTTCAGGGGGGTAGGCGAAGGTTACCGCAGCGCCCCCCTCCCTATCATGCCAATGTATGGTGCTGACACCCCCTCCACCCCGTGCGCACGCCTGCCTTGTCGCGGTGGTCTAGTGGCCAAGGCACCGGCTGCTGACCCGCAGGTCGCGGGATCGAATCTCTGCTGCGGCGGCTGCATTTTCGATGGAGGGGAAGTGATTTTAAATGAAAAGAAGATAAAAGTGATCCCCGTAACCGTCTCTCAGGGAGAGGACACCTCAACAGTAGCTCACGAGGGATGGGGGTAGAGAAGGGAATAAAAGGATAGGATTAAAAGCTAGAGAGAGGAAGAGAGAGTGAGGCGCAGGAACAGGAAGCGACGGAAGTGAGGAGAACACAGGACAGGAGGACACGGTTGCAGGAGTCCGAGGACGGAGCACCACTGGCGAGACCTCTTGTCGGCGACCGTAGATGGCGTAGGGCTAATCCAATCGGCCAGAACTACGCTGTTGTCGTAGGAAACCTGGCGGCAGGAGGTGGCATAGGACCAACCCAGTCGGCCAGAGCTGCGCTGTCGTCGGAGATCGCGAAGGCACAACCGGTCGGCAGGGAATCTAGCGAGCGAGTCGAAAATGCTGTAGGCCCATGTGTTCGAATTTGGGTGCACGTGTTAAGAACCCCATGTGGTCGAAATTTTAGGAGCCCTCCACTACGGCGTCTCAAGGGTGGCTTTGGGACGTTAAACCCCTCATATCAACCGTGCGCACTCCGATGACAGTGCCTATTCTGCTGGTCCAGATCACAGGGCTTAAAAGTAAACCATCCCTTTATTTTGTGGACCATACGATCAACTTGTGTGCAGTGGGCCTTGAAGAATGCATAAACAATGCGCTGTAGTAGCAGCCCGCCACTCTGATGACAGTTTCTGTGCACTAGACCATAGAATATTGCTATTGAATATTCATCTTTCCTTGGGAAAATTGTGAAGAAGAAGCAGCCATCGAAAACAACGCGTGAACTCAAAAGAAAGAAGAAAGCGTCCGCCATGAAGCGTTTATAGTCTTGTTGCTTCAAATGCCGTGACCAGTTATTTCGCAAAGTGGTGCCGAAACCCATCCGGAGTACTCACCGGGACAGCACACGCTACGATTCGTTCTTCTTTATGAAGAAAGTATCCCACGGCAGCTATGGAAGATGGGGACAATCCAAGATGTACATCGTGCACGCGAACAAAATCGAGAAGCTGCTCGGTTAAACTTCTGACAGGCTCTGTAATACGATGACCTGCCCTGCTTCTTTACCCGTTGGAACTGTCTTCACTGTAATGAACTCAAAGTGCGCGACTTTTCAGTGGGCGGAGGATATTGAATATTTATCTTTCCAATTGGGAAGATGATGAAGAAGAAGCAGCCGTCGAAAAGAACGCGTGAACTCAAAAGAAAGGAAGAAGAGAAAGAAGAAAGCTTCCGCCATGAAGCGTTTCTAAGCGTTTCTGTTGTGTGTAAGTAATGTAAATATAGTCTTGAGCCTTCAAATGCCGTGACCAGTTATTTCACAATTGTCACGGGAAATTGCCGGAGACGTCGTGAACGAAGAGAAGCGATGACAGCACCACTTCCACCGAGCGGCCGTGAAGAAGAAAACGATGGTGTTCGAAGCTCGCGAGGACTATGGACCGTCGGTTCTTTATCAGCTGCTGTACTTCTTTCGCTTTGGGAACAAGTGGTGTGAATAGAGCATCCTTGTTGTGAGATTGTTACATCTGTTGCATTTTCTGGTGGAGATGCCGGGCAGATGAGGCCAAGCCCACAAGAGAGCGAAGTCGAAGTCCTGACTATCCGGAAGCCGTGGAGCTTACACCAGTGTCAAGGGCGACCAGCCAAGTTGCATTTCCACCAGCAAATGTAACAACCTCACAAGGATGTTATATTTACGCTGCTTATGGAGGGCGAACTTGTGCCCAAGGCGAAAGACGCACAGCAGTTAAGAACCGAAGGTCTGTAGCCCTCGCGAGCCTCTGCCTGGAATACAGTCGTCGTCGTCTTCTTCACACTCGTTGGCCGCTCGGTCGAAGCTCGTGCACATGCAGGGCCGGCTCGTGCATTGCGGCTGGCTTCATCTATCGTAATGGCACCGTCAGCGTTTCTCTTCGTTTACGATGTCTGCGTTGTACTGGGCGTTGGCAATTTCCTCTGGTAATATATAGTAGACCAGACCACAAAATCAATTTATCGTTCGGTCGACCGGATAAAGCTCATCTTTATTTACCGGACCACGCACTGTCTAGCCTCAGTAGGCCAAACAGCCCACGTCTCACGACGGTTTTCTCCCACATACATAACATGATTGTGTGGTTTATTCCTTATAGTTTATCCGTGATTTATTGTGGCGGCAGGTCCACAGATTAGGCACTGCGTTCTTCCTTAATTGTCCATGGCTGCTTTCTCAAATCGCAAAAGATTCGCTTGCCGCTGTGTGTCCGAACCAAGGAGGTTATGTTAGCGCACATAAGCCATCGTACAATGATGCGCGATTGAAGACGCATAAGCTTGAAAGGGTCGAAGTGTAGAGCCCACTTTTAGGGGTGCATGCCTGACCCATGCAATTATTGCTGTATTAGCAGTGAAAAAACTTGTACTTGTGAACTAAAAGACCAAAAGGAATCCGGCCCACAATAATAAGTGACGGCTGTTTGGAAATGTTTTCGCCCTGGTTTATCCCGTACGTGCGAGATTTAAGTCATTTTAACACCGCAGCACATTTCTGTCATGCAAAAGAGTGCACTGAGATTTGCACGAGAGACTTCAATATCGAGTTATTCTCCCGATTGTATGGGCACACCCGTAAATCTTTTGAAAAGCTGTGCCAATTCCACCACTAAAACGTAACAACGAGGACAAAGGGCGGTGTTTCTAAAGTCAATTCTCTGACACTAGCTTATCGCATGCGGAACACGTCACTTTCACCGCAGCATATCAGTGTAATGCGAAATTAAAAGTGTATCAAGGTTAACGATTAAGATGCAACTATGTCATGGGATATAGCATGCACGTTTTCAGAAGTTTCAGACGTCACCTGTCAACCAGGAAGCCCGGCCAATTTTATTTCGCTCTTTACAGCGAAAGCTTTATGTGGCGCTAGGCGAAACGATAATCCGTCTGCCACGAGCCATAATAACGGTCTCCATTGGCTGCGCCGTCAGTTCTCTATGTCGCATGCATGTGCCTGCGCCACTGCTAGCGCCGTTAGTGGCGGCATTGTCTGCCTCGTACCCAAGCATGCGTGCCATTGGCTGCGTCGTCAGTGACGTCGTTCATCCCTTTACAGCCGTGTCGCCGAGCCCGCCGCGCGCAGCAGTTTCCACATGGGGAGCAGTTTCCTACAGCTTCCACATGGGGAGGGCACTATAATTGTACGAACGCCCGAAGAGCTGACAACTTTCCAAGAACAGCGCCGACAGCTGATCCGTGAGGGAATTCATGTTCGGCGACCGATATAGTGTTTCTTACGCTGCGCTGACAATGCGACGCAAAAAGTGGGTGTTTCCTACGCTTCGCTAAGACGATACGGTGCTGCCACCTACCAGTGGCTCCTCGTTTTACACAAGTTTAAACTTCCTGACGTTACTGCCAGATGGGATCCATATCTCACGCAGCGCCTACTCATTCAGCCATTTGTTATCAGTCGCACAACCTATAGCTTTCCTTACCTGAGGGCCTTGAAAGCAGA